AGTAGAGTCAACTTCAAATGGCCACAACTCAGCAGAAGCGTTTACTTCCCTCCTCCTGAAATATTCATAGACGATTTTCAACAAGCACCTCAGGTGACAGACACAAATATCCATCTGGAGTGTGAGGTGCTCCACGATGCGTCAGCTCTGAGAACCCAAGTTTTCTGAACAGCTTAACTGGCCCCTTTTTTAAGTTACAAAATTTTGACTTTAATGCGTTATCTAAAGGAGAATTTCCAAGTCATTACACATGCCCCATGTTAACAACACTTAAAGAATATATGTTCCCTGTATAAAAAAATAAATAAAATAAAATTCTAAAATTAAAAAAAAAAAAAAGAAGAATATACGTGCCCAACATGGCTGTTGTAATTCTGAGACCTTCGGCTACTCTGTCCCAAGCCTTGTCCATGCACACAAATACGCTGTGTTCCTGGGCTAAACTGACCATCTTGGGACTTCCCTGGTGGTCCAGTGGTTAAGACTCCACGCTTCTGCTGCAGGGGGCATGGGCTCGATCCCTGGTGGAGGAACTAAGATTCCTGCATGCCACACAGTGCAGCCAAATACAAGATTTAAAAATAGGGACTTCCCTGGTGGCGCAGCGAAGACTCCGTGCTCCCAAGGCAGGGGGCCCGGGTTTGATCCTGGTCAAGGAACTAGATCCCACACGCATGCCGCAACCAAGAGTTCGCATGCCACAACCAAGGAGCCCAGCTGCTGCAACCAAGGAGCCCTCGAGCCACAACTAAGACCCGGCGCAGCCGAATAAGTATTTTAAAAAGATTGAAAAAATTTAAAAATAACCATCTTTCCACCCAAGAGTCTGTTCTCAAATTATCTCTCCACCTAACATCTAAGAAACCTTGCTCTGCTTGCAATAAAAATCCTCCTTCATTCCTTCCCAATCCAAGAGACTCCATATTGAAAATGGAGCTGAAGGGGGAAAAACAACCTTCCTCCTTCCAGAAAGCTTTTCATTATTATCCACCCCATGGATCGCTATTTATATTGCACACGGTTTTACACAATGCAATTTGTCCATTGAAGACATTCCCTGTCTTTAGCTTAAAAAACCAGCAAATCAAAATACTCATTACTTCTAACTTAGAAAAAGACAGATCAAAGTAAACATCTTCATTTAAATGTTGAATTCATGTTGTATCATGAAACTAATTTTCTGCAATACTACTTGCTTAATGGAATGGAAGGAGGCAAATTTAAAGAAAAATAAATGATAAATGTGGCCAAGTTTCCTATACGTCATTTCACTATCTGATGAATTCCCCGCACACACAGAGGTAGGGGGACAAACAGAGGTGAACTACCAATCCTTATCACATGAACCTAAGTCATCTACTTACAGTTCCTTCTCACTCAATATGCCTTAAAGCATTCCTGAAACAAACAAGGGGGGGACTTCCCTGGTGGTGCAGTGGTTAAGAACCCACCTGCTGATGCAGGGGACATGGGTTCGAGCCCTGGTCCGGGAAGATCCCACATGCCTCGGAGCAACTACTAAGCCCGTGCACCACAACTACTGACCCCGCGTGCCTAGAGCCCATGCTCCGCAACAAGAGAAGCCACTGCAATGAGAAGCCCGCGCACCGCAACAAAGAGTAGCCCCCACTCGCCACAACTAGAGAAAGCCCACACACAGCAACGAAGACCCAACACAGCCAAAAAGAAATTTAAAAAAAAAAAGAAACAAACAAGAGAAGTTATTTCCTCTATAACTCAGGATCCAAGACCATTCTTTCAACTGGCAATCATCACCTATTAGGCACGTGGAGGCATGACTAACTTCATTTCATTAAAATAAAATAATACATGCCAAGTACTCAGTCCTGGTACTTGTGAACTGAATTTGTATGCTATCTGTATTTTTGTCCAACCTTCCTAAACGCTGGATTCCATTATTAACCACAGAGAGTAATCAGGGAACAGACAAACCGGGAAAAAGGATCCAATTCAACCAATATTTTCTGAGTACTCTGGGTCCAGGACAATGCCATAGTCACAAACGAACACAATTAAAATTCCAGGCCTGCCCAAAGGACCTCACAGGAAGGCCCCAGTGCGCCATCACACGCACAAGGCAAGCTCTAAATGTCTTTCTTGGTAAAAGGCAGAATGAAAATTTCAGAGTGCATAGAATCACATGCTGCACGAGGAAATCACCATCCCAGGGACAACTGATCCTTGCAACTGAGCTTAGGAACCCTAAAATACCTGGAGTATTAGGACATACAGCTAGTAGTTCTACTGCCTCACGGCCATATGCAATGGTTGGTGCCTTTTACTTAAAATGGCCTAAGTCCTTACAAATTTTATATAGGACAACAATTTTAAGAGAAAACCAAACTATGCCTAAATAACATAACTTCTGAAATAAGGTGAGGAATATAAATTAGAACCTTTTCTACTTTGATGTACATTGCAACCCTTCTACTACTTCTATTGTTTTTTTCAGAAATTTCCCCCACCTTAAAAATCACGTATTTTTTTAAAAGATTTACTCAGTTCAGAAACAAAAGTTTTATCCTCTGATCAAAGAATGGACAGGCGCGAGCTCACACTCTTAAAGCACACTCTCCAAAATTTACTTCTTTCTTAAGTAGGATACTGAAACAAAAAGAATCAACTGTTTTTTGTATGTCTCCCTAAAAATATAAAAGTTTGAAAAACACATTATAATCTACAATAAAAGCATCAAATTTTTTTCTAGCTGACATATCCAGGAAGCCATTTTCTCCAATGAGGCTTCAAAACTGTCTTTCTATACACTATTCTTACCTTCACCAACTTCACTTTTCTTCGTTTACCTCACTTTTTTCAAGTTTGAAGTTCTCTCAAATTCTGTTCACCCAAGAGAAACTACACCACTTCTTAAATCTTGCCACTGATCCCATCCTAATTCACCAATAAGCCTGCAGTTAACCTGCTCTCGCCACTGGGTGGCGTCCTGGACAAATTTTAAGCAAAAAAGATTTTTAACACAGAACACCATCCTAAATTCTAGATCATTTCCAACGAAGTGAAAAGGCCAAAAAAAAAAAAAAGTTTTCTAAAAATTCTTTAAAATATCAAAAGACTGACTGCATTCATTCAATCCTTATCAACAGACACCAGAAGTGACATTTAATCACCCTTTAAGCGTTAACCAAGGTAGCAGCTGACCTTGAACACGCAGTCGTACAGACTGCACCCCAGTGGAAAGCAAGAGGTAACACCAACGTCACTAAGATGACACGCTCAGGATTACACTGCGATGCTGAAAAGCCGGACTGAAAATAACCGTGCCCGCTTTAAAACTAAAAAATGCGCAGACCATTCCATCCCAAACTCGGTATTTGAGTTTGCTAGGCTGAAAACTGTCGTTGCTGGTGAGGAGTACAATTATATTTGTTTGGAACTGTCCAAAATAGAGCTGATACAAGGGAAAACGGTTCTACCCTGGGTTTTAACACCTAAAAAAATAATGGGTTTGCTTGAAGAGGAAAGCGACTGCATGCCACCCAGCCCTCCAGGTGAGTCTCTGTCCTGCAGCCAGAAATACTTTCCAAATCTACCACTCTGAGGTCATGAAAAATTTAAAACACTGATACTTTGAAGAGGATGCTGAACACATGTCAAAGTCTTTGAAAGCCCTTAAATTCCCAACTTCCTAGTCTTGCACAGCACCACACAAAGCCTGCTTAGGCAAATCTCAAAAACCAACTTCTCATCCCCTTTTGTTCTCCTCCCACTTCCTGTCAAGTCATCCACACCTAGACCGAGCCAATTCACTCCCCAAATTCATGACTCTGCATAACCCCCAAAATTCCACAGCTCCCTGGATAGTATGCACAAAGGGCACTCATATTTCTACTACAGCCCGTACAAACACTCAACTCCTAAACTCACAGGAGCTAAGGTCTCTGGAAACAGGAACAGTCTGGATTAAACTTCCCAGACGGAATCCGGGGAGGGTGTGGTCTAGGGAGAGGGCGGAGGAAAAAAGTACAAAATGCCTTTCAGATATCGTGAAAACATTCCTATGTGCCTAACTATAAAAAAAAAAAGAGTAAAACCTGAACGGGCATCACACAAGTTCAAATGCTAAGAGTTTGTTTCTCTTTCCTTTTTCGGTCATTCGGCCGAACTCTTCCACTAAGTCAATTACCTGCCTCACAAGATTCTAACCATAAAGTCTTATTGCGAATCCACAACGAAACTAGAAACGCTGAGAATACAAAGGGCGCCGCTCAGTCCACCCTTCCCAGGCAGCCCCCCGGGTGGTGGTGAGATCTTTTCACCACCGCCGTGGCCTTTCCGCGTAGCCGGGAGAGGTACGCGTCCGACAAGCGACCCACACGCTCTGAAAACGTTTCGCGAGGCAACACAAGTTTCCAATTTCCACTTCTTGCGTCAGTTCTTTCCTTACTTGGGCAAAAGTTGACAGAAACTTCAGCTATATAAACTGCGGTGCACCCCGAAGCGAAACCCAGCAAACTGGCTTTTTAAGTAGGCCGAAAGCCAGGCGTTTCATTTCCATCTCCGACACACTTCGGAGAAGCCAGCGGGGAGTTCCCGACAGGCGGCCTCGCGTCCCCCGCCCGCTTCCCGGTCTCCGCACTAGGCAGCGCGGCCTCCCACGAACCTCTACTCTTCCTGCACACTTACCTCCTCCTGGCTTCAGGGCCGTCTATGTGGGGCCTTAAAACCGAGTGAAAACCCAGCCTCCCACGCGGCAGCGCCGCCCCCGCCCGCAACAACCGGCGCGCGGCCCCCAGGACGCGGGGAGGAGAGGACCCCCCAGGACAGGGGGAGGGGCACGGGGGAGGGGGCCGCGAGGAACGAGCTGGACCCCGGCCCCACACGCGGCCCCCGGCCTGCCCCCCGCGCCCCCGCGCCCCCAACCCCGGTCTCACACCAAGCCCGGCCCCCGGCCCGCCGCGGCCAGGGCCCGGGTCAGGAGGGCCGCCGGGCCCGCCCCCCCGGCCGCTGGCGGCCCTCACCGAGGACACGGGAGCCGGCGGCGTAAGGCGCGGCGGAGCGGCGACCGAGGCTCCGAGGCTCCGACACTGCGGCGCGGCTGACGGTGGCGGCTGCGCTGCAACGGTCCTCGCGCTTTCCTTTCTCTCCTTTCTCCAACAACAAACAGGAAGTGCGTCACGCGGCGGCGGCGCGGCTACGACACTTCCGCCCGGCCCTGACGCCGCGCATGCGCCCCGCCCCGGCCGCCCCTTCCGCCCCGGCGGACCCTTCCGCCCCCGCCGCCCCTTCCGCCCCCGCCGCCCCTTCCGCCCCCGCCGCCCCTTCCGCCCCCGCCTTCCCGAACACAGGAGCTAAGGTCTCTGGAAACAGGAACAGTCTGGATTAAACTTCCCAGACGGAATCCGGGGAGGGTGTGGTCTAGGGAGAGGGCGGAGGAAAAAAGTACAAAATGCCTTTCAGATATCGTGAAAACATTCCTATGTGCCTAACTATAAAAAAAAAAAGAGTAAAACCTGAACGGGCATCACACAAGTTCAAATGCTAAGAGTTTGTTTCTCTTTCCTTTTTCGGTCATTCGGCCGAACTCTTCCACTAAGTCAATTACCTGCCTCACAAGATTCTAACCATAAAGTCTTATTGCGAATCCACAACGAAACTAGAAACGCTGAGAATACAAAGGGCGCCGCTCAGTCCACCCTTCCCAGGCAGCCCCCCGGGTGGTGGTGAGATCTTTTCACCACCGCCGTGGCCTTTCCGCGTAGCCGGGAGAGGTACGCGTCCGACAAGCGACCCACACGCTCTGAAAACGTTTCGCGAGGCAACACAAGTTTCCAATTTCCACTTCTTGCGTCAGTTCTTTCCTTACTTGGGCAAAAGTTGACAGAAACTTCAGCTATATAAACTGCGGTGCACCCCGAAGCGAAACCCAGCAAACTGGCTTTTTAAGTAGGCCGAAAGCCAGGCGTTTCATTTCCATCTCCGACACACTTCGGAGAAGCCAGCGGGGAGTTCCCGACAGGCGGCCTCGCGTCCCCCGCCCGCTTCCCGGTCTCCGCACTAGGCAGCGCGGCCTCCCACGAACCTCTACTCTTCCTGCACACTTACCTCCTCCTGGCTTCAGGGCCGTCTATGTGGGGCCTTAAAACCGAGTGAAAACCCAGCCTCCCACGCGGCAGCGCCGCCCCCGCCCGCAACAACCGGCGCGCGGCCCCCAGGACGCGGGGAGGAGAGGACCCCCCAGGACAGGGGGAGGGGCACGGGGGAGGGGGCCGCGAGGAACGAGCTGGACCCCGACCCCACACGCGGCCCCCGGCCTGCCCCCCGCGCCCCCGCGCCCCCAACCCCGGTCTCACACCAAGCCCGGCCCCCGGCCCGCCGCGGCCAGGGCCCGGGTCAGGAGGGCCGCCGGGCCCGCCCCCCCGGCCGCTGGCGGCCCTCACCGAGGACACGGGAGCCGGCGGCGTAAGGCGCGGCGGAGCGGCGACCGAGGCTCCGAGGCTCCGACACTGCGGCGCGGCTGACGGTGGCGGCTGCGCTGCAACGGTCCTCGCGCTTTCCTTTCTCTCCTTTCTCCAACAACAAACAGGAAGTGCGTCACGCGGCGGCGGCGCGGCTACGACACTTCCGCCCGGCCCTGACGCCGCGCATGCGCCCCGCCCCGGCCGCCCCTTCCGCCCCGGCGGACCCTTCCGCCCCCGCCGCCCCTTCCGCCCCCGCCGCCCCTTCCGCCCCCGCCGCCCCTTCCGCCCCCGCCTTCCCGAAGGTTCTGCGTGGCCCGGGACGCGGCGCGCAGCGCGCGTGCGCAGTCGAGGCCCCGTCGCCGGCGACTGACGGTGGCGCGCGTGGGGTCCTGTCGATGGGTCTGCGCGGCTGGCGGGTGTCCCCGGGGCCCAAGGGGTGGGCCGCTGACCCGCCCTTCGCCTGGGACCCTGGAGAGCCGGGTGGGGGGGCCGTGGGTCTTGTTCTTCCCACTTGAGATCAGAGACCGTATTTTCAGGAGCCGTTTCTTGTGTAAACCCTCCCTGTGTTACGCACCCACTTCTTAGCAGGTGACCAGCACGTGACCAGTTAGCAAAAGAAAACTCTTTTATTCGGAGTCAATTCTTCGTTCCCTCCTTTGGTAGGTTATAGAAATCCCTGGTCAGGGGAGGCACAGCGGTGTTGGGTGTTAGCAACTCCTGGTGAAGCTGAGATGACCTCGGCGGGGCTGGAATTTCCTACAGCGCCTAAGCACCTGGCTCCGCCGCACGCAACCCTACCTGCCAGCCGGTCCCCGGGGTTTTCTTTCCCTCCCGACGTTGACAGTGCTGTCGTGTGACAGCTCACATTTAAATGAGTCCCTACTTAACGCAATTGGGAGCTAACCTCGGTATGCAGACAGTACAGAGACTTGGAGTCTAAATAGTAGACTAGCCACAAATAGCTTGGTCTTCCTCCAAAAAATAAATAAATATTTATTTATTAAAACATCTGCCAGTGCAGTGAGTTAACTGTGTCAGGAGAGAAACCAACCAGCACCAACAAGGCGTCTCTCGGCGTTCCGGGGGAACAAACACCCTGAAAATTAGATAATGCTCCATATTTAAGGAGCTCTTTGCGGACAACAGAGAAGATCTTCAAAGATTAAAGACTTATTCCAAAATTAGCGTTAGCCCAGATAGCGGTGCTGCTGGAAACTCTACTCCAGTGGAAATCGCTTCAACATGGAACTGCAAGGATCTGATCTGGAGTGGAAGGCCTTTGGAGAGACGTGGGGAGGCCGGTTGGCCTCGGAAGACAGTTGGAAAGCCCTTGGGCTGTTACCTGGCAGGCAAGGGAAGCCAGGTGGTGACGAATCTGTGTTTTGCAGGATGTCTGGAAGAGGAGGGAGGCTCGTGACTTTGTTTCCTCGTGTGTAAAATGGGGATAAAGGCTTCATGTGAAGGTTAATTGTATGTGCTTGGCTCTGTGCTTGGCACATAGAGATACTCAGTAAATCACAGCTCTTCTGTGTCATGGCCTCTCGGAGAAACTGATAAAAGGCATGGACTTCTCCCCAGCAAAACGTGCAAGTGATAGAAAATTTGTAGACACAGGCGTGCACGCACACACATCCTGCCAAGCCCACCTGTGAGTCCAGGAACCAAAGGTGAAGTTCCCGTATAATTGCTAAACTGAGACAGTTTAGCAATTATTGCTCTACTGCGAAATTTATCTTTGATCAAAGAATAACATTTGTAAAAATTTGCCGAGGCAATAAATGCAAGAACAGAGAATGAAAGAAAAAAGTACATGCAAGGTTATTGATCACAACTTTGCAGGTAATCAGTTCCTCCTTATCAGGAATACTCTGCAGGCCATAAAAATAATAATGTAATTATACTTATTAACATCAAATGTATCCAAGATGCATTATTGATATAGTGATCCCATTTTTGTAAAATCGTATTCGTGTGTGTGTGTGTGTGTGTGTGTGTGTGTGTGAACATATACATCTTTTTCCCTCTTTGCTTTTGAGTTCTTAGCTAAGACTCCCTATAATAAAAGACAGATACAGGAGAAAAACAAATGCAAGTTTATTAACATGTATACCGCAGGTATACATGGGAGACACCAGGAAAATTTAGTGAACTCCAGGAGGTATCCAAGCCATCATTTTAAACACCATCTTTAAATAAAGACAAAGATGTTGGGGGAGGGGGAAGGGGGGAGGGGAGCCAGTTAAGGGAGGTTACAAGGAAAAGCACAGTAAACAAGGGTAAGGTTGTTATGCAGATTTCAGTCTGCTGCCTTCTCCTTGGTTAAGCAGTTCTGTGATTTAGAATCGTCCTCCTTTTCCGGGTACAGAGGGGGAGATGTGTTAGAAATGGAGATTTCCCTTATAAATGTAAATTTCCCTACAAAAGGGTAAATTTCTACTCGGTTCTCAGAGTTTCTCCTGCTTCTGCAGTTTCTCCTGCTGGAGTCTGAGAATTGCTTGTTGGTGTGTGGGGAAGCCTACACACACACACACACACACGTTGGAATTGGGTCCAGGAACCTAAAAGAGGGAGTATGTGGCGCTTGCCTGCCCTCTAGGTTCTGGCCATGGCCAGCGAGCCCTGGCTTGTAGACGCATCACTGCAGTCTCTGCCTCTCATGTGGTCCTCGCCCAGTGTCTCTGAGTCTAAATTTCCCCCTCCTTATAAGGCCACCGGTCATTGGATTAGGCCCATCCTAATCCAGTATGACCTCATCTTGATCACATCTGCAAAGACCTTATTTCCAAATAAGGCCCCATTCACAAGTCCTGGGGCTTCAACATCTCTTTCTGCGGGGACACAATTCAACCCCCAACAACCGATATCTGGTAAAGGTGGCCGGTTTTCCTTCCTGAAGCTACACCTCCCAGGTCAGGGGCTCCTCCTGGGGGACCGCAGCCCCGGGACATCGTGCACACAGCAAACTCGGATGTAGATGAAAAGTACGGCTCCTAGAATTGTACGAGATGAAACGTGTATGCGGCTCTGATTAGTGAAATAAGACTCATTGTAAATGCTCCTGAATTTCTCTCCTACAGTAAATAACCAAATTATAATTGCTGCTACTTGAGGGGTCCCGGTCAGGTTTTGATGGCAAACGTGCTTCCCATACTCAGAATATGGACGAGCCATGACCGTTGTGTTCAATTTCAAAGGTAAATATTGTTAACAAAACCAAATTCAGCCCAGTAAATTTGAAGATTCCTAACTGGCTTTGTGAAGCGATTCACAGATGGGCAGCACCGCAGCCGGTAAACAGCAGGGCCTCCGAGGGGGGCGCATGTGAAACGAAAGGTTTTCTTAGGCGGGAGGGTGGGGCAAGGAATTGTGAGTGAAAGAAAAGCAGGTTAGTTTCAGGCCAGGCATCATCTTTTGGAGGAAGGTCGAGGCTCTATCACACTTCTTCCTCGGGGGATGGAGAGGCCCCTGGGACAGATGACCTCATTGGTGCTAAAGAAAATTCCAGATTGGTGGATTAAGATTACATTCCTGGGGAGGTCGAGCCTGCTGTTAGGTCAGGTGCCCTGGGCTTGAGCACAAGTGACGCTCTCTGGGGCCTGGTTTTCTCTTTAACAATATGTTACCCTGTCAATGCCTTAGCAGGATGACTGAACATTTTGCTATGGGGCCGGAGGCCCCAGACTTGACATAGGGCAGACCCACGTGGCCTTTGTTTGTCAGGTGACGCAAGGGTGTCAACAGGAAACCCTGACACTTTAGGACAACCCACACATTACATAAGAAAGGAGTTCCTCTCCTAAGTGGGTGCCTGACCTGGGAGAAGGACATCTGGCCCAGGTAAAATTACTGTGGGAGAGCTATTCTCACCAGTCAGAGCCTTGGGGGGTTTCTGCTGCTGGAAGATGTCTTTGCTTTTTGGCCTCACAGAAACATCATCTGGCACCTCTGGGGAATTCCAAGCTTGCCAATGGGGAGACGGAAAAATAATGCCCTCAGATTGGGTCATTGATGGCTCCCCCGAGGGTAATTAGCCACCTTGATCAATGAGAACCGAAAGGGAACTGCAGCCCCTCTTGTGCACCCAAGTCAGGAGGCTCAGGTGAAAGGGGCTAGAGGAGGGGGGCCGTGAGGTCACGGCCCTGGGCCGGCCCCATTGGAGACGCGCGCCCCTCAACCCCCTTGATGCCCCCTTGACTCCCCACATCTCGCGCTTATCTGTGAAACCGGAGCCCACCTTGCCTCCGTTCAGTCCACAGACGTTTTCGCCAAGGACTTGGGACCTGCTGGCTGTGACAGGGGCTCTGTGTGCAACCGTGAGACGTGGCAGCCTAGAGGGAGCCTTTTGGGATCAAGAGAGATGAGGTAAGTGAGAGGCCTCTGCAGGCCCCACGGATGGCTTGCTGGGGCAGGTCAGGGGGCCTCCCTGTGTGACGCACATGAGCGGGCTCCCCCCAGCACAGAGGCGGGGCCCTGGGAGGGAGGGGTCCCCCCAGTTGGGGATGTGATGCCCCAGACTCTGCCCTGCCGGCTGGCCCCCACCTGCGCTCTCCTGAGGTCTCGGAGCTCCGTCTTCCTGCCTTCGCTCCCTCCTATGCGAGGCTGCTCCCTCTGCCTGGAGCCCTCCTCCCGCTGCCTGGCCAGGTCCTCATTTCTCACAGTTCAGTCCAAATTATTAGCACTTCTACAGGCTATGAAGCCAGGTCCCCCTCAAACCGAGTTCCTCTGCTGAATTTATAATCATCCTCTCCAAAACCTTATTCCTGTCCCTGTTCCCCTCAGGATTGAGGAATATCAAAGAAAAGGGGGATTGGGCTTTCCTGACAGTCCAATGGTTAAGACTCCTTGCTTCCAAGGCAGGCGCATGGGTTCAATCCCTGGTCAGGGAACTAAGATCTCACATGCTGCATGGCACAGCCAAAAAAACAAACAAAAAAAAAAGTGGGGCTTCCCTGGCGGCGCAGCGGTTAAGAATCCACCTGCCAATGCAGGGGACACGGGTTTGAGCCCTGGTCCAGGAAGATCCCACATGCCACGGAGCAACTAAGCCCATGCGCCACAACTACTGAGCCTGCGCTGTAGAGCCCACGAGCCACAACTACTGAGCCCACATGCCACAACTACTGAAGCCCGTGTGCCTAGAGCCTGTGCTCTGCAACAAGAGAAGCCACCCAATGAGAAGCCCGAGCACCGCAATGAAGAGTAGCCCCTGCTAGCCGCAACTAGAGAAAAGCCCGCGCGCAGCAACAGAGACCCAATGCAGCCAAAAGATAAAAATAAATAAATTTAAAAAAAAAAAGAAAAAGGGGATTGAAACTGAGCAGGATCCTGTGAGGCTCTCCCGGGTACAAAAGCCCTTCAGTGATCCCCCGTTTCTTGCTTGTAGAAAAAGGCTTCCATCTCCTCGGCCTTCCCTGAGTTCCAAAGAGCAGATTCAAGCAGTTACTAGTCACGGAAGTGAGGGAATGCAGATTCACAGGTGAAGCAGTGAAGCAAGGAAGTAATGATAATAATTCAGTGACAATACAGAGTCCTAGCTCCTCCTCATGGAATACGCATAACAACCTGGGGCATATCCTTGAGTTGATCTGCAGAAACAGGTGAAGGATGGTGCTGACCACAGCTGACCACAAGCACTATAGCCCCCAGAGGCTGATGACTGAGATTCCTGAACCGCCACCCTGTTACCTCACCACCAACCAATCAGAAGAAAGTGCACGGCCTACAGCCCTCCCCAAAAGTGTCGCCTCTAAAACCCCTTCCCGGAAAGCCACTGGGGAGTTTGTGTCTTTTGAGCGCGAGCTGCCTGTTCTCTGTGCTTGGCACCTACAATAAACGCTGCGCTTCCCTTCACCACAACCCAGTGTCAGAAGACTGGCTTTGCTGTGTGTCAGGCGAGCAGGCTCAAGTTCGGTCCAGTACAGTTAGGTCCATCCTTACAAGCTGAGACCATCGGTTTCCTTTGTGGCACCTTCCAGAGCTCTAAGTAAAAGCCTGTTGGTGGAACCACGAGCGCAGGGTCTGCCTTTCCCACTGCGCTGTCCTTGCGTGAGGTCAGGGGCTTTGCGTGACCCGTGTGGTGCAGCCGGTACAGGGCAGCACACAGCAGGTGCCCAAGAGGAGGCCATTGCATGGATAAATGATGAACAAGCACTTGAATGTGTGGCCGGGAGATGGCGGGAGGCTGTCACCACGCAGCGACTGGGCTACAAACCAGGGAGACAATTCTTAGGGTGATGACTGAACGGGATGCTCACATTGTGATCAATGATTCGTCTTTGCAACTTGGACATTTTTGCCTTTTGGCCTAAATGTCTTCAGACCTGGAGAGGTGAGTCCTAACAGAAGGGCCCCTGGAGCAGGACAAAACACCCCTCATGAAACGGACTCGTGTTATTTCTGTGACCCTGGAAATACGGTGCCCCCGGGGCAGTGGGGACGAACGTCCCTCTTGTGGGAAGGGCTTTCCTGCCCTCAGAGCCCAGGTAACAGCGCGCTCACCTGGGCCCCAGCTCCACCATGGATCAGAACATTTCCAGAAGGTTCCTGTGCTCAGGTGGAGGTCAGGGCCCACTGTGCCCGGGTCAGGGCTCCTGTGGGGGGGGGGGGCACACAGCTTGAAGCAGGTGCGGGGCAGGGTCCTGATAAGACCCCGTGGGCCTCTGTGAGCCTCCAGGAGACTGTGCACCTTGGGTTTCACCTGCTGATGGCAGGCCCAGCCACACCCTGTGGACAGGCTGCCCCCTCACCCACGGGGACCTGGGCCACAGTCCAGCACAGGCCCGGAGCTTTCTAGGGCTTGACCTGGAGTTAGCCGCCTGGCAGCCCCGCCCTGCCGTCCCCCACCCAAGGCTGAGCCCGCAGGTCCCAGCCAGCCTTACTCAGCACTGCCCTGTGCTGGGGCTGCAGGCGGTGCTCCGCTGCCTTGACCCAAGGCCTTGCAGCCCTTCCTGCCAGTCCCCCTGTGGGCCTGGCCGAGGCCCATCTCTCTGCAGTGCAGACGTGGAAGGTCGGGGCTCTGGGCCCGAGTGCCACGGGCAAGGGGAAGCGAGCCCCTCTCACAGGCGTGAGACCCCCCCGTGCCCCGTGGACGATTTTCCTCCAGGCCAGGCCTGGGCCAGTGGTGCTGCAGGACCACAGGTACACACATGCGCACTTGCACACACATGTACACACTCTCATTCCTACACACACACGCTCACTCCACACGCATGCTGCTCACAGTGAATCACATCGCCCTTCACTGAAGGTGTGGGGACAAAGAAGATGTTTGACCTGCGGCAATGGGGCATCTTGACCCTTTTCTTTTTTTTTTTTTTTCATTTGGGCCCTTTTTTTTTTTTTTTTTTTTTCATGTGGACCCTTTCTTTTTTTGGCTATGTTGGGTCTTCGTTGCTGCACGTGGGCTTTCTCTAGTTGCAGCGAGTAGGGGCTACTCTTTGTTGCAGTGCACAGGCTTCTCCTTGCAGTGGCTTCTCTTGCTGTAGAGCGTGGGCTCTAGGCACGCGGGCTTCAGTAGTTGCAGCAGGCAGTCTCAGTAGTTGTGGTTCACGGGCCCTAGAGCACTCGGGCTTCAGTAGTTGTGGCACATGGGCTTAGTTTTTCCTCAGCATGTGGGATCTTCCCGGACCAGGGATTGAACCCGTGTCCCCTGCATTGGCAGGCGGATTCTTAACCACTGCGCCACCAGGGCAGCCCCTGGACCATTTTTAAAGTCTCTATTGAATTTGTTACAATATTGCTTCCGTTTTATATTTTTGCTTTTGTTTGGCTGCATGGCATGTGGTATCTTCGCTCCCTGACCAGCGATCAAACCTGTGCCCCCGGAATTGAAAGGTGAAGTTTCAACCACTGGACCACCAGGGAAGTCCCAGCATCTTAACCTTCAATATTAGTTAATAATATAAATGTTGTTTAATAACTAATATTAAATATTTTTAAATGTCACATTTAAAAATAATGCTTTAAATTGTGACATTAACATAAGCCCAAAGTAAATACTCAAACAGCACGAATGAGTCCTCCACCCCAAAGGCAATCACTGTCCTTTCCCTTATCTATCAGGGCCACTGACCTCAGGCAGCCCAGCCAGCACCTGCCACGGGAGGACCACTGCCCCTCCTGGAAGGCAGGCTGGCACGGGGCCCAGACCTGCTCACAGCAGGCTCTCCAAAGTGCCATTTCATGACCCCCTACTTCTGACCCCCATGTTTGTTCTCATCTGCCCTTGCCTGCAGATATGTTTTTTGTTGTTGTTTTTTTTTTGCGGTACACGGGCCTCTCGCTGTGTGGCCTCTCCTGTTGCGGGGCACAGGCTCCGGATGCGCAGGCTCAGCGGCCATGGCTCACGGGCCCAGCCGCTCCGCGGCAGGTGGGATCCTCCCGGACCGGGGCATGAACCCATATCCCCCGCATCGGCAGGCGGACTCTCAACCACTGCGCCACCAGGGAAGCCCCTGCAGATATGTTTTTTATCTTTACTTTTGGATTTTTTCTTTTCTTCTTTTTCTAATTGCAGTGAGATACTCATTACAAATTTACCGCTGTAACCAGGTTTAAGTGCACAGCTCAGGAGCATCAAGCATATTCACATTGTTGTGCAACCGTCATCATCTCCAGAATTTCCAGAATTTTCTCATCTTCCCAAATCGAAACTCTGTCCCCATTAAACACGGCTGTCCGTCCTCCTCCCCAGCCCTTGTGCCCCCACCATCTGCTTTCTGACGACTCTAGGGCCGCGTGTAAGTGGAGCCAACCATATTTTCCCTTCTGCATCTGGCTTCTCTCCGTGAGCGTCTCGTCCTTATCATTCACCTACGTCGCAGCAGGTGTCAGGACTCCTCCCTTGCTGAGGCTGAACAACTTGGGAATCATTGCTCAGACTCTTTCCCACGTGGCTCTCTCGCGACCCAAGGTGGGGGCCTGCTGGCTCCCCTTCTCCTTTACCCCCTGTACGCCCAGCTGGTGCTGGGTCAGGGGCCCCCCTCCCAGACACTGCAGAATTCAACTCAGAATTCCCATTCCTGGGCCCCAAACAGGGGTGAGGCTCACTGCAAGGGATGATGAAACAACAAGCGACTCTTATGTGTCGCTCAGCTGCTCTGAGGGCTTTGCAGTTACACCCGCTGCTCCTCTCAGCACCCGCGTCCCAGGGCGGACGTGCTGCAGGGCCCCTCCCTCACTGGGAGGCTCGGAGGCCAGGAGGCCTGGCCTTTCTCCCGAACTTTCCCTGGGGCACCCAGGCGACGCCCTCCTGGCCACAGGCACCCCAGGTAACCGACTGGGCCCTGGGCACTCACCTTTGTTCTGGGAACACGTTGCCATTTTCACCGGCAGCCTTTGAGGCCTTGCTCGACAGGACTAATGGGGAGGGTGGCGGGCATGGGGCCCACAGATGGGGCGATCGCTGGGGACCGAAGCCCTTTCAGGCGGCCCTGTACTGCCGGGCGATGCGCCCATGCCTCTCTGGCCCCTGCCCGACGTCCTGCCTGACTCCCGTCCCTCTCTTAGGCTCCTCCCGGCTCTGCCGCCACCCACAGGCAGGAGGGCTCCAGCCCCCGAGCCCTCCCCACCCCGGCCCAGGCGGCCACCCCCGCACACTTTCTCTGGGGGAGAAGCATCCCCCGGGCGCCCCTGGAGGAAACCCTCTGGTGGGGCTGCCTTGCTAGGCCCGAGGCTGCGGCTGGCTACGCATTTGTGCCAATGAGATGAGTCTGCCGTCTGGCGAGACAGAGGCACCATTCAGGGCCGAGGGACCATTCTTTCCCAGAGAGCGGGGCTGGGAGGGGCCCGGCCCCGAGGCCCCAGGTTCCCAGAGAGAGGCCTGCAGGTGGGGAGAAGAGGCGGCCGCAGGCAGGGCGGAAGGGCTTCTCAGGATTCCTGCCCTGCTCCGGGCCGCTCCCCGGGGTCGGCACGAGCCGACAGCAAGGCCTGCTTCCCCCCACTTCATCCAGGGCCGCCCTGTGACCTGGGACATCATGGTCTCTGCGAGTCTGAGTGAGCCTGGGGGGCGGCGCGGGGGACCAGTCCTGACCGCCCAGCGGGCCAGCCTCCCAAATGTCCCCTCCAGGTGATTGCCTAACAGAAACCTACAGTTCACTTCAATTTACTGCTTAATCCCCCCGGCTCCTTCTGTCAGGGGCCAAGTCCCGCGTGGGTCTCGGGTTTCTGCCCATTTTGTGAACGGGGACACTGGCTGCCTTTGCTTCCGACCGGCCGTCTTTTCACGGTGCTTGAACAGCGCCAGCCTTGGTGACACAGAAGGACTTGCTGGGCACAAAGGTCAGCTGGCGCCACCCTGGTGCCCCGTGAGCCTGCAGGAGGGTGAAGCCTCACGCTTGTCCCAGGTCTGGTCACCTGGGTTAAGCACTGTCCTTTTGTTCTAAAACGCGGGCGTGTCCAGGGGAGAAGTCTCAACAAACAAAAAGCACTTTCTCCTAAGAAGGCCCTTAACAAAAACAAGGACAGTGTGGTCCCCCGAAGGTTCCAGATGGACCAGCTGCCAGGACAGCAGGAGGGGCAGGGGAGCTCAGGGACACCCAGAGGAAGGACCAGCCCCGGGACATCCCTGTCCCTGAGCAGCCTGTAGAGCAGAGCCTCTGAGAGTGTGTCTCAGGGAAATTACATCCACTTTTCACAGCTTCTGTGGGAAGCTGGGTCTTTAGTGAGCACTTTATTTTCTCTTTGTCAGCCCTGCCTGAGCCCGCTGCCTCAGCAGGACCGGTTGGTGGCCCCAAAGCCAGGGACACCACACGAGTCCTGGCCAAAGCCAGCCTGCAGGGCACCGAGGCCCCAGTACCAGGCCGGGCAGGGCCTCGTGGGCCTGAAGTCCCTGGTGGACCCGGCGGCATCCCCCCAGCCCCTGCGCTCTCAAAGCCCCTTGGCGACGGGCGTGGCTCGTCCTGGGTCTGGCGGCAGTGTTCTGCTGCTCCTGGTCTGGCCAGTGGTCAAACCTCCAGGGTCTGACACCCCGATTGATAAAAGGGGTGTGCGCGCCATGACGTGCGTCTGTAAAATCTACGCTGCATGAAGCCCCAACAAGCTTGGAGCAGACGGGCGTTCCTTGCTGACAACTTCAAATCCTAAGCTAAAGCGTTGTCCCCAATTAAGAGTTAACGTGCTAATAAGTAGCCAAGTTTGTTTTTTTTTTAAGTCGATCTATATGTGAAATATCAATAAAGCCTACATTTTAAATATTTTTTTAAAAAGTTAAATCTAAATAGAACCTCTCTTTTCTCCCTGTGCCAAATAGATGTCTCAGTGCCCACTTGTTTGATTAACCCGACAGGAGAACTGTTAGTCCCTGGGCCAGGAGGGACCCAGGTGAAGGGCCCCCCCAGCCCCTGTGGCCACTCTGCTGTGCCCCAGCTGCCCGCCCACACGGTGCTGGCCCTGGCGACCTGTTCATCAACTTGAGCCTGGCCGGCTAGTGGCCAAACCTGATTGAAGAACTTCCTTCCAGGCGGTTCTCAAGAAATACATATGTATTTCTGGATCCCAAGAGAAAGCAGTCGAGAAACTGGCACGACAGGAAAAACGACTATAATTCTTCTGCAAGAGTTAGAGCTTACTAATCAACACAAAGACGCCGCCAGCCGGGGAAGCCCCTGGTGTCCAGTCAGAAGCTGGAAGTGCTGACGGTGGAGCGGCTCGTCTGGGAAACAGGGCTGTGGTTGGCGTGTGGGAGAGATGGGGCGGCGTTGCTCCGAGTGGCTGTCATGGTGTAAGAGGCGAGAGGGCCGGCGCTGCTGGCGGTGAGTCATTCCTGCATATAAAATCCACACCAGTCAGCACACACACCCAGCGCACCGTTCAAATCCTGCCAGATGTGTTGAGGAGTTGTGTACTTGGGAGGCCTTTGGTTCCCGGTCAGTGTCGGGTGTTAACCTCCCTGGCCGCTCAAGCTTCACATCATCCCAGCACTCCCCGAGAACGTTCGAGTGTCTGCTGTGGGCTGTGGACGCTTGTAAGTGCGGCTAAACCTAATATTCCTTATTAAACGGAACTTTTTAGAGATCCGTAACGATGCAGAGAGTCTGAGAGATGGTGCAAGTATTTTAAGAACGATAAAAGAAATCAACTAGATCATAGCATTTATTGTTATATGTTTTCAAAACAGAAAGGGAATTCCCTGGCTCTTTCTCTGCTGAGGGCCTGGAATTATCCCTGCTCGGGGAACTAAGATCCCACAAGCCACGCGGCACGGCCAAAAAGAATAAAAATAAAACAGAAAAGCCAGGCTTCCCTGGTGGCGCAGTGGTTGAGAGTCCGCCTGCCGATGCAGGGGACATGGGTTCGTGCCCCGGTCCGGGAAGATCCCACATGCCGCGGAGCGGCTGGGCCCGTGAGCCATGGCCGCTGAGCCTGTGTGTCCGGAGCCTGTGCTCCGCAACGGGAGAGGCCACAGCAGTGAGAGGCCCGCGTACCCCAGAAAAAAAAAGCCCCCAAACTTTTAACATGACCCTATCATAGGAAAATTAGTCACTCGTTTTAACCAATCAATATCAGAGACATGGAAATAAAGTGTTATAGAACAAATACAGACTAATTCATGATTTCAGGAATTTCTGATAATTATCAGGAATTCTGACTTTCATCCCGGGTCTTTTTTTTTTTAATTTTTAAATTAATTTTTATTGGAGTATGGTTGCTTTGCAGTGTTGTGTTAGCCTCCACTGCACAACAGAATGACTCAGCCGTGCACATACAGATATCCCTTCCCTTTTGGACTTCCCTCCCATTTAGGTTACCACAGTGCATTAGGTAGAGTTCCCTGTGCTGTACGGTGCGTTCCCATCAGTTGTCTATTTTATACATAGTATCAATAATGTAAATGTGTCAATCCCAGTCTCCCAGTTCCTCCCACCCCACTCCTTTCCCCCATGGTATCCATACATTTGTCCTCTCCGTGCACGTCTCATCAAACCCGTCAGGAATTTGGGATGAAGGACGGGCAGCCTGAGCCCACCTCCTGCCCATCCCCAGCTATATCGGGCCCCTTGTTCATTCAACAAACGTTTCTTGAACTCTGACGATGCCCAGGGCAGGGCCCTGGTATGCAGAGTGAGTGGACATGGGCCCCGCCCTTCAGGAGGGCACACAGGCAGGGGTGGCCGTGAACAGGTGTTTAGAGCGGGATGGATTATCTACCGCTGCCCAGAGAAAGATGCCAAGGAGACGCACCAGGTAGGCTGGCCTGAGAGGAGGGTGCGTCCCAGGTGGGGCGGGTGGGAGCTCTGTGGAGGAAGGGGCGGAGGGGAGAAGGGGCGAGGTCAGCGCCGAGAGCTCCAGGCCTGGGGCCGCCCTCCCAGCACCACCGGTAGACAGCCTGGGAACGCCGGCCTCCTGCCCGTGGGCTGGGCTCTGGACGCCCACCCACGTGTGCGTGCACGGCGCATGTGTGCGCACAATCAGAGACAACACCGTTAGGTCGTCAAGTCTGGGGCCCCACCCGTCTGGGCAGCCTGAAGGGTGAGCGGCTGCCTGGTGAGGTCGGGGGGTGGACGTCCTCGTGCGACCACTGTGGGAACAGCTGCCATGCACGTGTCCAGGGTCAGCTCCACGGGGCCTCACAACAGGCCCGCGGGGGTCCCGCACCTGCCCGGTGGTGGCTGGGCCCGTGGCTCCCGCCCTGGGTGTGGTCCTGCCGCAGGGGCTGGTGGCAGCTCGCAGGCCTCCACCGGTAGGGGCGGCCCTCCAGGGTGGGCATCCCTGTCGTTACCTGGGCTTTGTACCAGTTAGTGCCCCGTGGAGCATTTCCAAGGGCGGCCTGGCAGCCCCCAGCCCCAGAGCCCCTCCCCGTCCCTGGCCCTGGCTGGCCTCCAGCTCAGCCCCAGCGCCCCACCCCATCCAACCCAGCCTCTCTGCGGCCCCAGCGCTCCCGGGGGACCCCAAGAGACCCAGGGGCCCAGGCTTTCCTCCCGGGAGGCTGGAGAGAGCATCTCGAAGGTGGAGTCTGAGCTCTCAAGGACAGCACTGGGCAGGGCATCTCTGCTGGTGGGGCGTCCCATGTCGCAGGCATGCAGCTCATCACAGGTGAGGACAAGGCGGCTGAGAGGATTAAGTGGTGGGGATAGTGGGGACAGGATGGGTGGTGCTATCCGTCTGGCTGGCTCCAAGCCCAGGCTCCTTCCTGAGGAGTGCATGGAAGGCAAACCCTCGCACACGGACTGTCAGGACCCCTCTGCGCCCACAGCAGAGGCCGTTCAAGGACGAGGGCCCTGCTTCCTGGCCTGGGTCCCTTCTCGGACAGGGTGTTGACCGGCCCCCTGGGCTCCGTCCCGCAGCCTTGACTCTCCAGGAAGAAGAGGGTGTGATCCACTGGACTGACCTGGGGTCACAGGTCAGAGGATCTGATTCCTCAGCAAATCTGGGGAGACAGGGGAGGATCCCTCAGAATAAAGGATGAGAAAAACTCACACCAGCAAAGGTGATGAACCGCACAGGGAAGAAGTTTCCAGAACAGTGGCATGGCGGCCCCCGGGCAGGAGGCGGGGCTGCGGGGACAGCCCTCGGGCTCTGGGTGCTGAGACGCCCGGCGCCTGGCAGCCGTTACCCCACACTCGCTTTGTAATGACTCATCAAGCCCCACGTCTGTGCTCCGGTTTGTAACAAAACGTTCCTATTCTTTTTTTTTTTTTTAATTTATTTTTTTTCGTTCTTATTCTTAAGGAGAACTTTTACTGGGGGTCAGCGATAGTGGTGGGCATGTAGGCAGGTGACCCGGTCACGGGGAGCAGAACATGAGTGGGCGGGCTCAGGGGCCGGTTCGTCAGCTCGGGCGTGCACGCGGTCCCCTCTAGCCACCATGCGCCCACCACCAGGGCTCCGACGGCACAGTCGCTCGGGGCCTCTGGGCACACACGTCGGCTGGCGCAGAGGCTCCGTGGTGAGGGAGCAAAGCCCAGGTCTCTGCGGCCCAGCCCTGCTGGGCCCGCTCCTCCGCCTTGGTCCCCAGGCCTCCCTGCAGATCCCAGCACTTTCCACCCCGGGCCTCTGGCCTCTGGGCCCCTTCTGCCGCCTGTCTTCCCCCCGCAACTCTGCAGGCCCCCCAGTCCGCTCCCTGCCCAGCGCATCTTGGAGGGGCAGCAAAGGGGTGACTTCCCAGGTCACGTTTCCACATCCCCCTGCTCCTTCCTTCTGCCCAGGTCTCCCCCATACAGATTTATCCTGCACACGGCGTCGTTCAGGAGGCCAGGGCCCTTCGCTGCGGGGACCAGAGGCTCCCGGCGTCCCTCGGAAGGGATGGGAAGAGCAGCTCACAGCCGGATCCGTAGCACTGCCTCGGGTGTAGACACAGGTGTGCGCGAATGTGAATTCACTTCACCCTTGTTGGGAAGGCTGGGGACATCCGAGGAGGCTTTGCCAGCCCGGGGGCATCAGGGCGCCGGTCAGAGGTGGGATGAGGGTCATTCACGGGAAGGTGGCTCTGAGGCCTCTCGGCCACCCTGCCCCTGGCACAGGGTGGACGACCCGGAGCCGTCTCGAGGGCGGCGTCCAGTTCCCACGTGAGTCCTTGGGACAGTGGAATGTGCACCGCGGCCTGGGTGCAGGGGGGGGAGGGGACGACCCCCACCCAGCTGGCAGCTCCCCAGTGCTATTTGGAGGTGACTCAGGGGCCTGCCCTCTCCCCATGCGCAGCCCCGCCCTTCCAGGGCTGTGCTCACCTTCCTTCTGTACGCGGGCCTCTCACTGTTGTGGCCTCTCCCGTTGCGGAGCACAGGCTCCGGACGCGCCAGGCTCAGCGGCCATGGCTCACGGGCCCAGCCGCTCCACAGCATGTGGGATCTTCCCGGACCGGGGCACGAACCTGCGTCCCCTGCATCGACAGGCGGACTCTCAACCACTGCGCCACCAGGGAAGCCCTCACCTTCCTTCTTGTCTCCAGCCTCTAAGGCTCTGGCCCTTTGCCCCCAGGGCAGGGTTGGGGCAGAGGGCAGAGGGCAGAGTCCACCCTGTCCCGAATGCTCTGTCCCAACCTCTGACCTTGGGCTCTTTTAGCACCTGGACCTTGGGCGGATGACTTCTGCCCTCCGCTGCCCACCTCTGCCGGGCTGGGGCCCTCCTAGTCAGGCCAGCTTCCTTGCCCCCCGGACCCCACTGTGACCCAAAGGAGGACTTGGAAGACGCCACGCGGCCCGGAGAGGCTGGCAGTGGGGTTGGCCATCCTGGCTGCCACCCCACCCACCTGTGCATCCCGTGCAGACTTGTGGACACACTGCACTCCCCCTGCTTTGGCTGCCAGAGAAAACACAGGACTCGGGGAGGTGGACCGTCCCAGCAAACAATCCGGGGCCCACCTGGGCTACGGGATGCTATTCATTGTCAGCCTGAAATTCCCTTTGCACTGGTCTGGGGTGGCTGTGACCTCCCCGTGTGGCTGGTTCCCGGGGCCCCGGCGGAGTGTCCGACAAGCCGCGTTCTTCTCCACCCTCCTTTGGGTCACCTGCGCCGTCCTGTGGGGAGAGGTGTTTGCACAGATGGCAGATCACTTAATACGGCCGATGGTTTTGCTGAAGATGTAACTGAAACTAAATCTTCAGTTACTTGAAAGATTAAATGTGTTCCACAGACCCCACAGCCCGGCCGGGTGCCCCCGTTCATAAAAACTGAATGTCGATGGCGTCCAAGAGCCGGCAACTTCAGAGGAGGGTATCGGCTGGCAGGATGAGACCTGAGATCAAGTGTCTCGGCCGTGAAATGTTTAGGCACGCGGCCGCCCGTGCATCAGAGGGGCCGGGCCGCCTCCACTGCTCTGGGCTGAGGGGCGTCCCAGCCTGGGAGGCGGGTCACAGCGGCCATGCCTTCCACCCACCTCTTGTCGGGCTACCCTTCCCCCACTGGTTGTGACAACCAAGAATGTCCCCAGACGGTGCCAGATGTCTCCTGGGGGCACCGCAGAGCCTCTGGCCTAGCGGCATACAGGCCAGCGGGCGGCGGGGGACGACACACCCCGCTCCGTGCCTGAGATGGCAGAGACCCCGCTGCACACGTGTCTGGGGAGGCCACTTTCGCTGGGTCTTGGAGGAGCCTGGGGTGTTCCCTCCAAGGCCAGACCGAGCCACGCTGTCCTTGGCGGTGGGACCCTTCCGCGGGCCAGCTGGGAGCCCCCAGGAGTAGCCCAGCAGAAATGCCGTCTTCGGGGCCTAAACACCAAAGGAGGCACAGCCCGGCGGCCAGCCTGGTTCCAGGTTCCAACTGCAGGGGATGCGGGTTCGATCCCTGGTCGAGGAACAAAGATCCCACATGCCTCGCGGCGCGGCCCCCAAAAAATATGTATCAGGGCTGCCTGTGGTGGGCTGAATGGCGGCCCCAGAAGGCATCAGGTCCCTCATGCCAGAACCTGTGAATGTTACTTCATATGGTAAAATGGTGTCCCTCAGGGGACTGCCTACCCGTCCAGGGCAGGGCCAGCCATGAGCAGCGTGGGCCTGTCCTCAGGTCTGGGAGGGGAGGTGGGTGAGGAGGCCAGGTCCTATCCTCTGGCCTGTCTCCTGTCTGGACTGTCCCCATCTGTCCCCTGGCCTGTCCCGTCTGTCCCCTGGCCTGTCCTCTGGCCTGTCTCCTGTCTGGCCTGTCCTCTGGCCTGTCCCGTCTGTCCCCTGGCCTGTCCCCTGGCCTGTCCCGTCTGTCCCCTGGCCTGTCCTGTCTGTCCTCTGGCCTGTCCCCTGGCCTGTCCCATCTGTCCTCTGGCCTGTCCCCTGTCTGTCCCCTGGCCTGTCCCGTCTGTCCCCTGGCCTGTCCCATCTGTCCTCTGGCCTGTCCCCTGGCCTGTCCCCTGGCCTGTTCCGTCTGTCCCCTGGTCTGTCCCCTGGCCTGTCCCCATCTGTCCCATCTGTCCTCTGGTTTGTCCCCTGTCTGTCCCCTGGCCTGTCCCGTCTGTCCCCTGTCCTGTCCTGTCTGTCCTCTGGCCTTTCCCCTGGCCTGTCCCATCTGTCCCATCTGTCCTCTAGCCTGTCACCTGTCTGTTCCCTGGCCTGTCCCGTCTGTCCCCTGGCCTGTCCCATCTGTCCTCTGGCCTGTCCCCTGGCCTGTCCTGTCTGTCCCCTGTCTGTCCCCATCGGTCCTCTGCACACCCACACTGGGCTGAGACTTCCCTCCCTTCAGGGGTCCCCGCCCTCCTGCTGCCATTCCCAGGCTCTGGGGCTTGGGCCCCCCAGGACGGAGTCCAGGGAGTGTCTCCACCTGAATCGCCCGCAGGGGCCTCGGGTGGCCCGGGGCGGCTGTGCTGGGTACAGAAGTGGGAAGTGGCATCTGGTCAGTGGTCCCATGTGCCAGGACTGAGGCCTGGGAAGGGGTTCGTCCAGCTCCACCCCCAAACCCCCGCCACCAGGCTGGCTCCGCAGGGGCAGGTGTGTGCATACATGTGTCCACGCTTTGCGTGTGACTGTGTATGGGTGTGCGCATGTACATACGTTTGGGTGCTGTGTGTTTATGTGTGCTTGGGCCCGTGTGTGCTGTGTGCAGCCACAGCGGCCCCTGCTGGCCACATGGGGAATGGCGGCGTGTGACCCAGGCCTGGCGACCCAGGGGGGCTGGCGGTCCCAGGGAAAGGTGGGCTGGGTCTCTGTGCCGATGGTTTTGGGCGCCCCGGAACTGGGACAGGGGCCAAGATAGCGGGCGCCGGCCCCAGGCTCCCCCTTGCCTCACCAGGTCCCACAGAAGCAATGCCAACTGCACGTTCTCGGGGTCCGGGCTCATCCCGCAGAGCACAGCACTTAGTGCGGGGAACCGTCCCCAGTGCCTGACCCTGGGGTCTCCTCCTTCCCCCCACGGTCAGCAGCCCTGCCTGGGGTGACAGCGTTCCTCTGGACCTGAGCCCGGGTTTTCGGATGCACCCAGTCCCAGCTCCGTCCAGAATTGCCCCACACTTGTGGGCTCCCTTTTTGTTCCGAAGCCCTTGTTTTCTGTGAGGCTGAGAAGCTGGGGACACAGGTGCAGGTAGAGATACCTCCCGGAGCTCAAGAACTGTGATGCTTCCACTTCTAAGCCCTAAATCCTGAGCGTGAGCTGCGGGCAGTGGTCCCTCATGACCCCCAGCTCCTCTCCTTCCTGACCCTGGCGTTTGTGCTTCTCGTCTCGCTGCTTCCCCTTCCCGGTGAAGCTGCAGGCACGCTGGGGGGTGGCAGGCCTGGTCCTACCCTCCGGGGCCTTAGCTGGGCTGTTCTCCGGGCCTTGGCAAGGCCACCCTCGGCCTTCCTTCAGGTCCAGCGAGTGCTGCCCCAGCCTGCGCTGGGCTCCCACCCGCTTCCCAAGTGGTGTCCGTGGGCAGCTAGGAGTGGTGGTCCCCCCAGTCGAGGGCATGACCGAGTAGGGTTCCAGCAGTCCGTCGTGAGATGTGACCCACCCCTCTGGCCATGGGTAATGAGCTGGGGTTGGACATCTCACCTGAGACAGGCCAAAGGCAGTCCTCCCCGAGGCTCGGCAGACCAGGGACGCAGAGGTCATCACTCCCTCCTGGGCCCTGAGGGTCCGCTGGGAACCGGCCCTCCATCCCTGCATCCCACACAAGCCGCCTTCCTGCTCCAGTGTCGGGAGCTGTTTCTCTGCCTCCATCAGAGTCGCCTCCAGGTGTCCCCCGACCTGTGGGGAAGGAACGGTGGGCGTTGTCACGAGAGATGCCCCCCAGGGGAGAGCCCTTTGTGAATCCTGGGCGCCCCGGTCTGGGTGGTGATGCTGACCTGCCACAAGTGCCACCCGGTCCTCGTTTTCTCCGCCCAGACGCCGCGGGGCTCCCGACACTCACAACACGGCCCCAAGTCTTCCCAACAAGACAGCCGAACTCCCGGGCCACCCCTGGAGGGGCCCCGTCCAGTGGTCCCCGTTTCCCGGAGCGCTTCCCCTCCCAGCCCTGAAGTTGAAACCCCACAGCCTCCTCAGAAGCCTGACCTGGCTTCTTGGCCAGAATCCCCTCCCGCCCCCATGTCCCGGCGTGTGCAAGCCCCCCAGGCCGGGCTGTGTCCCCCCGAGGGTCTGTCCAGTTCCAGGAGCACAGGGAGGTGCGTACCGTCCCGCCAGCAGCCTGAAAACAGGGCGGGAGTATTTTCATCCCGACTGAAACCGGCAGACCCTTCCCCTCCCTGCCGGCTGCGACCCAGCCCCAGAGCCCCCCCGAGAGAGAGCAGGTTATCCACGCCGCCTGTGGAGTCCAGGCTGGGGTCCCCGGAGGGCCCTGGGTGTGGACGGCGGGTGTGCAGACCACGTGTGCCCAGCAGGCGGCTCGTGGACCATCCTGGCTGACGAGCCTTCGTGCCCGGGCCTGGGTGCCCCTCTCTGCGGGCCGGCCTGGGCCACTTCTGCGCCCACAGGCGGCGCATGTCAGGGGAGCTATGGGGGTGCTGTGTGCCCACGTGACCGACCTGCCGAAACCCCGGCCGCTGGGCTCCGGTGAGCTTCCCTGGGCAGCCCTGCTCGTGCTGTGCGGCCCCCGGGCAGGGACCCCGGAGGCTGGCGCTGGGCCTCTGGTCCCGCCGTGCACCTCTCTCCCCCCGAAACCCTAACCCTAACCCTTCCCCGCGGTGAGCCCGGCCTCCTGAGGGTTCCGGGGGGGTCAGGCCTGCCTGGGGTGCCCTGGGCCGAGGGTGGGCATGGCCGTGGGGAAGGGAAGGTGCCCGTGAGGTCTGTCCTGGAGGTGGGATCTGAGACGCTCGCCCGTCAGGAAAGCCATCCATCTGGTCTGTAAGATGACGGCAATCATTTACCCAGACGGCCTGGGCCTCTTCTTCAGGTGACCACACTCCAGGATGAACGACTTTTCATTTGTTTGGCCCTTTAAAAAGTAAAATAAAAAAATAAAAATAAAAAAAAAAGTAAAATATAAATTCCTCAACATATTGATTTCACGGATGTTTCTTCTCTCATTCCCAGCCTCCCTCCCACCGCCTTCTCTCCTTAGAGAGAGCTGCGTCCACCCACGCCAGGCGTGGTGCTAAGTGCTGGGGACAGCTGGGCATGGCCACCCGCTGTCCTGATGGAGCCGCCGGCTGGTGGATGTGGCCGCTGGTGGGATCACCCAGAGAACCAGGGCGACTCACGGCCAGGTCAGGCGGGGCCCACCTGTCACCGTGTTAGTCGCACAGACCTGTTGTTGGGCCGCAGCTGCCCCCTGGGGACCCCACCTGCTGGAGCCTGTGCGCCGTCACGCACCGGGAGGGCAGGAAAGCTGCCCTGGCTGGACTGGTGGGGCTGGATAGGGCGGGGCAGCAGGCTCATTACCACGTGGGCAAAGGGTTCTGGTCCGGCCCGGAGGCTCAGAATCTGAACATCTGTACAGACATTAACTTAACATTCACCCTGCTTAGCAAAAGCTAACTTCACAGGAAAACCCATCCATGTGACAAATAATGAGTGAGCACCCACTGTGTGTGCTAGGCTTTATTTTAGGAGCTTGGTAATGGAACTCACGTTCTAGGGGGCGGGGAGAAAAAACATAAATGAGTGAAATCCATACTGGATCAAACAGAATTAGTGCCACGGAGAGAGGTGTAAGTCAGGGAGCAGACAAGTTACCACTTTTAACACGGTGGGAAGGGAAAGTGACACTGGGCAAAGGGGCACCTTTGGAAGGAAGCGAGGGGGCAGGTCAGCTGAGCGTCTGTGGGTAGAGCCTTCCCAGGGGAGGAGTGTGTGCAAAGGCCCTGAGGTCGGGGAGGAAATCAAGACGGCCAGTGGAGCCTGTTAGCAGGAGGGCGGGCGCTGGGTGCCGAATCCTCAGAGCTCCCGCTCTTCCGCTGGAGACCCTGGCAAGTTCTGCCAGAGGAGTGGCAGGGGCTGACGTGGGGCCAGGGACTTCCTTTGGCTCTGAGTTGAGAAGAGACCGAAGGTTAGTGAGGTCGGGGGTGGGAGACACTTGGAGGCCACCCCGCAGATCCAGGCAACCCCGAGGTGATGGCTTGGGACGTGGAGGTGGCCGAGAAAGTGGCCAGGAGTTGTCAGCCTTGGCCGTGTCCTCAGGAGGGCTGGCAGGGGTGCAGCGTGGGGTGCAGAGGTGGATGGGGGGGGTGCAGGGCAGTTCCTGCTGCAGCCACAAGCCCGTGGGCCGCACTCAGCTCCTGGAAGACAAGTCCCAGGGGCAGAGGCGCCTGGGTGCCTGCGGCTGCAGGTAGAGCCCGGCCCTGCGCACCCTGCAGGGGGCCGAGACACTTCAGCTGGGGGCAAGGCTCTGCCCCAGCAGCAGAGGGTCAGGACTTCCCAGCAGAGGGAACGGTCCCCGGGGCTGGGATGCTGTGTGGCTCCGCCTGGCAAGTTCTTTGCCTCTGACTGGAGGTTTGGAGGTTACCAATAATTGTTTTCCAATAATTACCTGGGAAGGGTTGCCTGGGACGCTTTCAAGACACAGACTTACGAGCCCAGCGCTATAGGGAAAGGATCATCTTCAGGCAGCTTTGGGGAACATGGATGTGGCGTGGCCTCCTCATCTCACGGAGGGTCATCAAGACACCTACTCCAGGCCATGTGGCCATGGCGGAGCCTGAATGAGGCGGCCCCAACTTCCCACGAGCAGGCCCACCTTCCACGCTTCTCCGGTTTTCAGACGGCGTGGTAGCCTCTGCCTCTTAGAAATACACGTGTAGTGGGGGGACGGTCGACCCCCTGGTTATGTCCACGGCCCAGTCCCTAGAACCACGAGTTGACTTTACTTGAAAGGAGGTCTCTGCAGATGTAACTCAGCTGAGGGCCTGGAGGTGAGGTCACTGTGGGTTATGGGGGCTGATGCCAGTAGACAAAACGTCCTCATAGGAGAAACACAGAGGGAGGTGGGACGCCGACAGAGGCGGTGGCGTGTCCAGGACGGCAGGGCTGGGAGCACGGGGCCGGGAGGGGCAGGGCGCGGGTGCCGCCCCACCCCGGGGCCTCTGAGGCTCGATTTCGGACCTACGGGCTCCAGAGCCGCGAGAGGGTAAAAGTGCTGTTTCAGTCACGCCGTTTGTGGCGTGTTCCAGCAGCCACAGGCAGCTAACGATGTCACACAACGTGAGTGCCTTTAGACAGGCCCTCCCCCGGCTCGGGCTCTCACAGGTCCCTCCGGTTCCTGGTTCCTCGGCCAGACGGCACTGGCCAGCATCGGAGCCGAAGCTGCTGTAGGACGTCCCCAGCTGGCGCGCCGTCCTGATGCCGCCATGCTGAGCCAGGCCTGGCCCCTGCACTGAGCGCCGTGCTCGGACCGCCCGCCCGACCTCGCATGCCCTCCGCAAGCGAAGTCCTCCCCTGTGGCTCTGGCCTCTGGGGGAGGCTCGGCAGGCCCAGGAGGCCAGGGTGGGAGCCGGTCCCTGAACTGCAGCGCAGGGGAAGGTGAGCAGATCCTCAGCTCACCAAGTTTCCAAGGTGAAGAAGGCACCTCGGGAACGACACAGCGAGTCATCAGCCTACACACACAAGCCGACGGCCGGGCAGCAGGCGATGGAGGAGGGGCCCAGCCGCAGAGGCGCGTGACAAGCACCAGGCACAGCTACCACAACTACCCGTCACAGCGAGAGTGGGGGAAGGGAGAGGAGAGCGCTGAAGGGTGACTTTTCTGCCCGTCTCTGCAGAGGAAAAAGGAATGACGTGGCCTACGGGCAACAATGTTACGATTATTCTAAAAATTATTTGTTATTTTTTGGCTGCCTCAGGTCTTAGTCGCGGCGCGCGGGATCCTCGTTGTGGTGTGCGTGCCGGCGTCTCTCTAGTTGCGGCGCACAGGCTCAGTAGTTGTGGCACGCAGGCTTAGTTGCTCTGTGGCGTGTGGGATCTTAGTTTTCCCCACCAGGGATCGAACGAATGTCAAAATGTGACATTTGCAACCTGTGACATCAAACCACCTAAGTTAAAATAAGGTTCTAGTGGGTTTATAATATGTTGACATCAAAAGCTTGTCCACAACTCTCATCAAACGGGTATAACATCCCTGTGAAGCCAAAGCACAGGTTCCACCACTCTCCAAAAACAGAGCATCCGAGGAGACCCTTCCTGAGCCGAAAAGGCATGCGGCCAAGAAGCAGTTACCTGAGGACCCGTCCTGCTCGTGGACGCACAAAGTCAATCGAGATGAAGCACAGGTGCTCACAGATACAGTTCACAGCTGTAGCAGCTTGACGCTGAGCTGCTGAGTGTGGTTCCAGGAAGGAGCTTGACGGGGCCGCTCTCACTGCTGGGGTGGGCGCTGCCTCTGTAACGCTCGCTGCAAAACACGCTGAGCTGAATGAGATTTTCCCTTTTCACCTTTTTTTTTTGGTAAAAGTGCCAATCCTCTTCAAATTTCTTTTGGCTAGCAAAACCAGGTACTGAAGTGAGTCCTTCTTAATGGGGGAGACCTGCATCTAGATTATCCCCATTTCACAGATGTGTAAGCTGAGGCACGAAGTACTCAGGCTAAGAACTCACAGAGTTTCCTGGAAGCAGAGACCTCTGGGTGGTCCGGGATGCTCCGAGGCCACAGGAGCCCCCGCTGGACCTTGTCTCCATCCTCTCAGCTCTCGCCCAACTTCCCACCTGGACCTGCTGGTCACCCGGCCTCCGGTCGTCCACTCCGGCCACCACTGTGGTGTCACGAAGAAACCTTTGGAAGCCAAGGTCGGGCTCAGTGACACCCTTTGTTTGGGGAGTGGGGGTGATGCCCCTAAAACCAATCCCAGGGGAGATCTGCTGACCTGTGTGGCGCAGACGTGGCTGTTATTTGGGGCACAGATTACTAAAGCTACTATACGTAACACTTTCAGACCGGGAGCAGACGAGTTTGCAAGAGGCGACTGTAGGAATTCAGCTAAATATTAGTGTGGCCATAGCTCATTTAGGCTAGCTCAAATAAAATTTCTATTTTATTTGCATTAATATGCACCTCTAGCTGTTTACCTTTCTTAAATATCAAATTACTTTCTTTCTTAAATATTAAATTACTTCCACCTCTGCACTCCGCTCTTCAGGAAGCTTGCCCCTGGCAGAGCCCGGCCTGGGCTCCAAGCCCACGAGCATCACAGGTCTGTGCGGATCACACTGGTGATCAGCATGACTCTCTGCCTCTGACTGACAAGACCGCAGGCCTGGTCCGCCCGGGGCCACCTCACTGGGCCCCCGCGGTACCCAGGGCCGAGCCACGCAGATGCACACCCGCCCCCGCCCCCAAGAGCCACGGAACCAACACATCGCCAGTATCAGAGTGGCACCAGGGTGGCGTGAGCACCGCGGTGTGATACCGCTGCCCTAATCAGGCAGAAGTCTATTCACAGACACAGCCTGTGAGAAATGTCTGCAGCCTCTCCCACGGTGTGAGCACAAAACTACCAGCGCCAAGCAGAGCACAACAGAACGAGGAACGGCAAACGAGACGATGGAGAAAGGAGAACCTTCCTGAAGTATAATTTCCTCAGTAATGAGAACTGGCAAGGTGAGGGTCACTCCTGGAGGGCCTGGCTCTCACCAGAGCACGTGCGGGAAGGGCTGTTACAGGTCAACCTTCTCGAAGCCTCGCTCAGCGCATTTCAGACGGCGGGCGTTACTGCCTGGTATACCTCCTCTGAAGCATAGGTGGCTGTACCCTGTACGAACTGATGACATTTAAACAAGCCTGATAAAACTCACGTTCAGAAGTTGTGGTTTCACTAGGGCAGAATAGAACTAATTACAATGATTTGGGGTACGACTCCAACACGGACTTGGGAAAAAATTTAATGCAAATATTTAGCCACTGGAACATACAAATAAATATGCTCAGAATAGCTGAGGAAAAGAACCCAAATAAGAGTAACTGCCCAATTCTCTTCAGTCCCAGATAGTCCGTTTCCAAAATACTGATGATAAAATACACACATCAACTAATAAGTAAAGAAGCTACAGAACATTCAACACAAAACGACCTAAAATAAAAATAAAACCAAGGACAAACCCTAATTATTTTATTTCTGTATATCAAGACTACAAACAGCATTTAAACACTTAATTTATTCTTCAAATTAAGAAATTATACATTTTGTTTCGATAACGGTCACGGTTGAAAGTGTCATTCAGTTCTCCCACATTTAGAAGTATATTGCTAATTCTGGCCAGTTCAACACGACAGCTCAGAGCTCCAGTGGCAGCGAAACACCAGCCGTGGGAGAGAAGTCGCGCACGGTCCAGAGTCCTCCGCGGCCCCAGCATCTGTGTTCACAGGCGATGCTCTGAAATGCTCTCCGCTTTTGGAGACTCGTGGAGACTGAAACCACCCAGGTCCTGATAAAGTGCCGAATCCCGAGAGAATCACCCAGGCCCCAGGCGCCTGGGCCGCCTGCCCCTCCTACACAGCAGCACCGATGGGGGGGCAGAGGGTGCGGGAGCGCGGCATCCCCGCACATCCAGGAGGACCGGCCCGCGGAGCCCGGGCCGCAGTGCAAAGGCGCAGGACCACTTTGGTTCAAGTGACTTGAGACGGCGCTGCAGGGTCTCCTCTCCCCGAGCCCTCGTGGGTCACACACGCCGCAGGGACCGGACCGGGACCCCCTCCCCTGAAAGCTCTCCAGGCACAAGGTGGAGACAGAAATGGAAACAGAAGGAAGTTCCCGCCTCACACACACCCCCACACAGTAACGTCCGAACCATCATGATGCAGGTCAGTGGCAGGCCGGAAACAAGCATGCTAGTCCCGTTTTGGGGAAATGGCTTAAAAAACACAAATAAAATATTACCACTGTTATCTACTTTCCAAACCTAACCACTCTGGGAAAAGGCAGCAGGGGAAAAAAAAAGCCTTTAGTTTTACCAATTAGGCCTGTAAACAATTCAACCACACAAGAAGCAGTGGCCCCCAGAACGAGCCTCTCCGCCCTCAGGTCTGTCTCTCTGCAGACCCAGAGCTGGGCCGAGCCACAAGCAGCGCCTCTGCCAGGAGCCCGGGCCGCGTGGCTCGGGCCGCGCTCGGTTCCACCAGCAAAGCCAAAGCTTCATCTTTGGTTAATTTCACTGAGTTGCCACCAGTCTTAAAACTGTGCTCTCCTTGGCAAAATTACTAAGTTAGCCACGTGGCACATAACATTTGTTATTTTAAGTTATTTGAAAAGCAACGCCCATCTAAATACGAGAGCACAACTTAATAAATCATTTAAAAATGCAGGAAGAGGGGTGGCGGGGGAGGGACCCAGGAGAGCCAGGGGTCCAGCCTGGGCGCCCTGCTGGCCGGAGGTGCCGCGCAGAGGCCCTGGCCTTCGCCGTCAAGGGTGGGCCGCGGCCGCGCCGGTTCAGCTCAGCTCAGCTCGAAGCCCGCGGCGCACTCAATGGCGTAGAGCAGCTTGCTCCGCAGCAGTGCCTCGTCCTGGAACTCTGGGAGCTTCAGCAGGTTCATGCAGGTGCTGGCCGTGGGCAGCCGCTCCAGGTCGGAGCCCCCGTTGTGAATGCAGAACGCGGGGTACAGCTCCTGGAAGACAGCGGGTGCGCAGGAGAAGGTTAACAAGCACGGCCTGAAATGAGCTTTCCAGACTCGTACACAAAAGCTACTGCCCCCAGTCACCTTTCCCCAAAAGGACACTCGCTCTTTCACTGCGCTCAAGACTCAGCTCTAAATTTCTACCAAATACTGTACCCTGGGCTCCATGCATAAAAAGGGATAAAGAATAGCATGAATTCATGGGAGACATAGCCTTGTCAGTGAACAGGGTCTCTAAAGCTTTTATTTTTTAGTCTTTTTAAAATGTGTTTAAAATTCAGAAAGGTACAAGGGTGAAGAGCTGAAGATATAAACCTCTGCTTATACCAAACCACAGGAAGGGCAGAAGCCCGTCTTCTCCAAATGAACCACACCGTGTGGATCAGGCTCAGGGGCCACGTGGATGCAGCAACAGTGAACGTAAAACAATTTCAATCCAGGAGAGAAAAAGGCAATCTCTAAATATCGAAAGCAAAATGAAACAAATAAACCTATTTATTGGTGGCTTAATCACACAGAGAGGAATATTTCCAGTGTTTTAGAATTGCAAAGAAATCTTAAACGGTTTTGTCACAGTAAATTATTGGTATTGTTCTAAAACCACTGTAGTATGATGTATAACTGTTATATAAGTATTTTTTTATGGCTGCTATTAATTTTTAATTAATTAATTAATTTTTGGGGCTGTGTTGGGTCTTTGTTGCTGTGTGTGGGCTTTCTCTAGTTGCGGTGAGCGGGGGCTACTCTTCGTTGCGGTGCGCGGGCTTCTCATTGCGGTGGCTTCTCTTGTGGTGGAGCACGGGCTCTAGGTGTGTGGGCTTCAGTAGTTGTGGCACGTGGGCTTCAGTAGTTGTGGCATGCGGCTCCAGTAGCTGTTGCTCGCGGGCTCTAGAGCGCAGGCTCAGTAGTTGTGGCGCACGGGCTTAGCTGCTCCGTGGCATGTGGGATCTTCCTGGACCAGGGCTCAAACCCGTGTCCCCTGCACTGGCAGGCAGATTCTTAACCACTGCGCCACCGGGAAGCCCCACTGTTATGTAAGTATTAGAGACAACTATAACTTAGAGCAGGGCCCTAGAACTTATCAGAGGAAGGAAATGAACTAACAGGAGCCACGGTTTTCATAGGTAGAGAGAGACCCCAATATAAAAATCAAAGAGGGAAAAACCTTATACGCCTAAATTTCAATTTGAAATAGCAGTTTGAACTTGTGATGAATTTTTCTCTTGGGGACAAAAGAACGCCCATTTCCTAGCTCTGTCCACTGAAAAGGCCTGGACACAATGACCACCTGTGACAATGAAGAGATCAAGTGCCTGGGTTTTGGTCTCTACCAACCTATTCTCGAAGAAAGGAAACAGGGCTTCTTGGGAAAACATCCGATTCCAGACGTGGGCCAGGAAATGTACGTGACAAGTGTTACTATCTTGTCATACCAGAAAGCAAGAAAGCGACGCAAGGCTACCTGGGACCCTGGAGCCCACCTGGAGGCCCTCGCCCGCCCACGGATGGGGCACTATCAAAGAGCGACTGCAATGGACTGAAACACATCAAATGTGAAAAGTTCATAATGATAAGAAAGGAACCAAAATGTACTTCAGAAGATGCCAGTTATCCCCCTCAATGTTCTGATAACTTGTAAATGAGGAATAATCAAGAGTTCCTTGATTATTGTATCCTGGCTGTACAAACAGTCCTCAGGGTAACCAAAGAGCTGATGAGAAAATATAAAGTTTTTCGTAATAGAGAAATCAGCTAAGAAAGGAAGAAGCGATACAACTGGAAGATGGCTGCTTTCAAGCACAGCAAAGAATGGATCTAGGCGGCGACCGCAGCTCTGTGACCGCTCAGCCCCTCAGACGCCCAGATGCAGAAAGCCAGGACGCTGGAAACAGACGGAGCCGCGCTGCAGAGACGACTCACGACCACGGGATCTGATGCTGGAGCCAGAGGATGTGAGCATCACGACAGCGTCTGTGCAGCCTTACTGCCAAAGGGAACATTCACATCTAGAATCCGGTGAAACCTCTAGCGACCAGTTTACAAGACATGCAAAGAAGCAACCCAGCTCCCCCACTGACTGGACCACAGGCACAGTTGAGGAGGGCGGGGCCTGCAGGCCAGAAAAGGCTAGAGAGACGCCCAGGCAGACGCAGCGTCTGGACTGCGGCTTGTCCGCAGCACCAGCACGGATGGCGTCGGGCATCCGCTGTCATTTTTTAGACATAATAATGACGTTCTGGCTACTTTTTTCAGCTATAGTGTAAAAATTCCCCCAGCTGCCCAGTTCCCACCCCATAAGCAGCAATGCTGGGGGTGTCTCGAGGACCTTCCACAGAGACGAGAGTGTTTTCTCCCTCCTCCACCTAACAAGCATAAGGCGCTAGCACATTATAGACGCTGTCTGCACCTTGACGGTTTCCCATCTGATAATGCGTCTCTGTGGCCTTCCCACACCAAGCCAGTCTCCCCACTGCTTCTCCGTAGCTGCACGGGTCCCAGCAGGCACGTGCAGCACAGTTTGTAAATGGACACTTAGGTCGTTTCCACTTTTTCCAAACAATGATGCAATAAGTGACCATGTCCTCAAGTCATTTTACATTGGGCAGAAGTATCTGCAGGCTGAACCCCTAGACACTGTTCCAGACTGAACACGCCAGGTCCTTTGATGGTTACAGATAACCAGTGACTCTCTCTGTGATACATGAACATCATTAGATACAAGATGTGATGTATACATTCCCTTCCAGCAGGAGCACAATGCAGTGGGGACTGTCTTTACCCAGACAGCCTCAGTCTGCTAGCTCTCGGGCCTGTGTGCTCTCGCCTTTCCACTGCTGCAGGGTTTCAGAAGCCTGGCTAGTTAAACTTCTCTGCCAAATGTACGCAGAAAACGGCGACAGAAGAGCAAAACGGCAGCCCAGCGGGTGCCTGGGGAGGAGTGAGAACCGGGACGGTGGGCCCGGTCGGCGCCCGTTACGCTAGCACGCTCCCTCCTTAGAGCTGTGACAGGAGCGCAAACGCTTCAAATGCCGCTGCAGAGGCGAGTCTACTCAGTGGCCTCTGCGGACACCGGCTCCAAATCCTCCTCTTGTGGGTGTAACCTGGTAACTCTGTGGGGACAGCCTGGCAGGAAGCAGCAGGAACTCACACACATTCACATCCTTCACCATGGCCTCTACTTCTAGGAGCGGATCCTAATAATCAGAGATGCAGACGATTTAGGTACAAGGGTGTTGATGGCACTATTAGGAAGGAACAGTTGTAAAGAACTAATAAAAAAAAAAAAGTACGTAAATTGTGGTAGACTCACATGATGGGACATTATGAAGTTTATTAAAAATATTTCAAAGACTATTTAATATGTGGAAAAATGATCCTGATGTAATGTTGAGTGAAAAAGCAGCCTGTAAAATTGAACACGATACAGCTTGAGTTATATTTTAAAATCATATCTATCTGCATAAACACATGCCCATATATATATATAGATACAAACACACATTCACATAAAAACACGATAATGGTTAGAATGGGAGCAATTATAGGTATTTTTTTTCTTCTTTATAAACCACAACTTCCAATTTTCTATAATGAAAACATTAATTTTGTTACAAGGAAAAAAAAGAATAGCATAAAAAATAATTACCTACTAACCGCTGTAGAGGAAAAGAAAGAACAAAACAGGAGTGCAGCTCCTGCCCTGACTGGGACCCCGAGCACATGGCACATCAGCCCACGACAGGTGCCCAAACGGCCGAAACTGCATTTCAACTGGATCTTGTTTCATCTACATGTTGAATTTAGCACATAGTTTATGACGTGGGCAAAACCGAGCAGCGAGAGCATAGCCACGAATTGCTGACTCCAGAGACTTACATGCTTCTTATCATCAGTCTTTACATGGTTCTCTACTGGCAAACAAAAACTTCATTTACACAATCCCTGTGGGGGCTCCCCTGGTGGCGCAGTGGTTAAGAATCCATCTGCCAATGCAGGCGACACGGGTTCAAGCCCTGGTCTGGAAAGATCCCACATGCCGCAGAGCAACTAAGCCCGTGAGCCACAACTACGGAGCCTGCGTGCCACAGACACTGAAGCCCACGTGCCACATCTACTGAAGCCCGCATGCCTAGAGCCCGTGCTCTGCAACAAGAGAAGCCACCGCAATGAGAAGCCCGTGCACCGCAACGAAGAGTAGCCCCCACTCGCCGCAACTAGAGAAAGCCCGTGCGCAGCAACGAAGATCCAATGCAGGTGAAAAAAACCAAAGAAACAAAAACTGTGGCATGTTAATATGTGCTAAAACCCACTGTCTTTACCTCTAATTATAGTTTATGTGCCACTTTATTTTTATTTTTTAAATAAATTTATTAATTTAATTAATTAATTTTTGGTTGCATTGGGTCTTCGTTGCTGCACGCGGGCTTTCTCCAGTTGCCGCGAGCGGGGGCTACTCTTCGTTGCGGTGCGTGGGCTTCTCATTGCGGTCGGTGGCTTCTCTTGTTGCAGAGTGTGGGCTCTAGGTGCGTGGGCTTCAGTAGTTGTGGCACGTGGGCTCAGGAGTTGTGGCTTGCAGGCTCTAGAGCACAGGCTCAGTAGTTGTGGCGCACGGGCTTAGTTGCTCCGCGGCACGTGGGATCTTCCCGGACCAGGCCTTGAACCCAGGTCCCCTTCATTGGCAAGTGGATTCTTAACCACTGCGCCACCAGGGAAGCCCCTGTGTGCCACTTTAAATGTCTCATAAAAAAGTTAGAAACGGAACCAAAAGAGAAACAGAAATAACATTTATTACTTAGCATTCTGAGTACATTGAGGGCAACAATTTTCTCAAATGCTTGACTATACTAAAATAAAAACATCACACTTTTGAAACAGAAAAGGGTCTCTGAAGGCAGGGTCAGTAAGTACTGGGTAAACGGATAAATGATTGGTAAATGGAAAGTTTGAAATATGGTTTGCAGTTAAATGACACATTTCACTGTTTCTATCATAATGCTAATTGAATTTCCTATTTGGTGCCTCAAAGTTTAAAAAAATATGAAGTTCTTTGTTGAAATCTGAGTCAAGGGTACCATTTTGTGCATAACTAAACAGAGTACAACGGGAATTTGCATTAATTCAGAGCGAGAAAAATCATCAATTTATTATGTGGCCTGATGGCAACTTAACAATTTTCTACAGCACTTTAATGATTTTTTTTGTCTGTAACCACCACATTCATTAAACATATTAAACTGGAATCAGCTTTAGCAGATGTTACTCTTCTCCAGTACCCTGGCAATAAGGAGTTTCATAACGCTGAAATTATGCATGCCTGCCACTGCTACTGATCGTACTTCAACTAAAAGCCATTCTCTTCTTTCAAATCTGAATCCTGCCAGCCCTTTCAGCGCACATGAACTGACTGAAAAGCATAAATATTACGGTGATTTCCCCAAATCTGGAGTCTAATGACAACCACAAAAGCATTTGAAAACTCTTAAATAAATTTCGCATTTAAAATGTTTTAGATCATTGGAAAAAATGTGAAACAGGAAGACTGTCTCATGGCTTCCAAAAAATTATTTTTCATGGTATAATGGTAACTCAATTATGATTATATGGGATCATCAACAGAGAACCAGAGAATTTTTACTATAATTCTACTTGGGATTTTGAAAGTTAATATAAGTCCCTCAACTTTTCCTGTCCTCCAAACCTGTAATACGTCTACTGGCTCTTCCACTGGCTGCCAGAATGTCTAGAACCTTCCAGCAAAACTCCTAATTTTTACTGAAGCAAAAACCACGGGCTTTAACTAATTAACCAGGAGCTGGCAGAAATCTCTAGGTCTTCCACTCAATTTTTTGATGGAGTAGGTCCCTCCAAACTTCCCTTCTTGAAACTAGATGCTTAGTTTTCTTGCTTCTAGGTTTGGTGCGGTTTTGAAACTGGAAGAAACTGTAAGCTTTGTCTCTCATAATAAATTTTACTGACAAAATTACCTAATCATATTAGAATCTTAATATATAAGAATTTAATTCATATGACTGTTCAGATGGACAATACTAACTGTTCCGACGGGAAACCTTCCATATTAGCGCCGTTTATTCGCGCCACTGCACTTTCCATCTGCCTTCTTCCTGCTCTTTAGATCCTACACGGCCAGGTTTCCAGACTTCACTACAAGCCCAAGAGGAACCAAAAAGCTGAGACATGTTTCTTTCACGTTCTTGCCCAATTTTCATTAGAGTCATAGAGGCCAATTTTCATATCTGGTTCTGCAGGCCAGGGCTTAAACCCACGAAGTAGATCCATCTATTTCTTTTGGGAGGAGTGGGGATTATATACCAAGCTAGCAGCATCACTAAATCTTCCTGAATCACTTTGTTTAGGTGTGTCACTTGTACACAGTTTTTTTCTGACTCAGTCTGAGTGTTCTTCTTCTAATAAATGAGTCTATTCTGTGCACGTTCCCTGTCGTGGCAGTTCAGCTTGCTCGCATTTCTGTTTTCTGTTCTATGACTGTCCACGTTAACTTTGTTTTCTATTATCTGGTAAATAGAGTTGGTTTGGTTGTCTTGTTTTGCATGCTTATCTCTCCGTCTGAGAGTTTGGAAGACAGAGAAGGGATTTTAGTTCTGCTAGATCACTGAATAATATTATTCAGTAATTGTTTATATTCATTGCCCCTGAAATAGTCAGTGACTCACCTCTTACGAAAAACAGAATCACTGCACTTATGCCACATCCCTTTCCCCATTTCTCTACTTTACTGCTCTAGTTCTGATGGCACTTTTGGGGATGCTGTATTAAGCTACTGATGTCAATTTATAAAACACCTTAACTGAGGTGTAATTTACATACTGTAATATTTGCCCATTTAAATGTACAATTTAAATCCAACTTCAGGGCTTCCCTTGTGGTGCAGTGGTTAAGAATCCTCCTGCCAATGCAGGGGACACGGGTTCGAGCCCTGGTCCGGGAAGATCCCACGTGCCGCGGAGCAACTAAGCCCGTACACCACAACTACTGAGCCTGCGCTCCACAGCCCGCGAGCCACAACTACTGAAGCCTGCGTGCCTAGAGCCCGTGCTCTGCAACAAGAGAAGCCACTGCAGTGAGAAGCCCGCGCGCCGCAACGAAGAGTAGTCCCTGCTCGCCGCAACCAGAGAAAGCCCGCGCACAGCAACAGAGACCCAGTGCAGCCAAAAATAAATTTATATATAAAAAAAATGAATCCAACTTCAGAATGTTGCCATTTCCCCCCAAAGTTCCCCATTTCCACCCCTTTAAAGCCATTTCATGTAAAAGGAATCACACAGTCTGTAGTCTATTGTCTGAGTCCTTTCACTCAGCACAACGTTTTCAATGCTCACACACGTGGTAGTCCGTACCAGCAATCCATTCTTTTTAATTTCTGAATCTATCCCGTTGCCCAGAGAGACTACATTCTGTTTATCCATGACCAGTTTATGGACATTTGGACTGTTTCAGTTTTTGGTCATTATCAGTAATATTGCTCTGAGCGATCCCGTGAGAACTGTGTAAACACACGTGAGTCCACTCGTTCCCAGGAATGGAACTGCTCCACTGTACTGAGGGACATTCTCGGATAACGTGCCAGGACCCGCTGAAAATGTTCAACAAAGACCGGAGGAAACCGGCCAGTAAACAGTGTGCAGCCTCGGACTGGACTGCAGACCAGGGAAGTCGAAGTCCACGGAGGACTGCGGGACGGCTGGGCCGCTGCAGGTGCTCTGGACACAGAGCGGCAGGTAGAAACAGGAGGGCTGAGCCCCCTCCTTGAGTGGACTCAGGGGGTCTGGGCGAGGCCGGAGAATGTTTTAACTCCAACAAGGTCTCAGGTGGTGCTGAAGCTGCTGGTCTCAGGACCACACTCTGTGAAGCAGAGGCTCAGAGAAGCTCAGTACATCACTGTGCATTCCTTACTTTTGATCACTTAACTGTGTCTGTGTAAGAGAGTATTGAGGTGGTAGGAAAAATGTGTAAGAAACATGATGTCTTCAACTTTTACTCCCAAATGATTCAGAAAGAAATATATGTATATTATAGAGAGAATGATAAAACAAATGTGGCAAAATGTTAGCAATGGGTCAAAGTGGGTTAATAAGTTCTTTGTTCAATTCTTGCAACTTTTCTATACATTTTAAATAAGTTCAAAGTAAAAAGTTGAAGAAAAGAACAACCAATACATAACTCAGTGTCCAACGCAAGGTTATTGGAAAGTGAATGCCAATCCATTAGGTTTCACAAGCAGACGCAATATACAATCCTTACCTAACTTGATATTATTTTGTTATATATACCACTGTGTGCCTCTTTAAACTATTAAATATAGCTTTATTTCTTTTACTATGAATAAGAAAAACATAAACTGTCCCATGACCAATTTTATTTTATCTTTTTTTGTTTTGAAAGATTTTTTTGATGCGGACCATTTTTTAAAGTCTTTATTGAATCTGTTACAACATTGCTTGTTTTATGTTTTGGTTTTTTGGCCACGAGGCATGTGGGATCTTAGCTCCCCAACCAGGGATCAAGCTTTTTTTTTCTTGTTTTGGCTGCACTGGGTCTTCGCTGATGCGCGCGGGCTTTCTCTAGTTGCGGTGAGCAGGGGCTACTCTTCGTTGCGGTGCGTGAGCTTCTCATTGCAGTGGCTTCTCTTGTTGCAGAGCACAGGCTCTAGCCTCACGGGCTTGGCTGCTATGCGGCATGTGGGATCTTCCTGGACCAGGGCTCGAACCCGTGTCCCCTGCATTGGCAGGCGGATTCTAAAACCACTGCACCACCAGGGAAGCCCTATTTTATCTTTTTTATAAATTTATTATTTTTGGCTGCGTTGGGTCTTTGTTACTGCGCGTGGCCTTTCTTTAGTTGTGGCGAGCGGGGGCTACTCTTCGCTGCGGTGCATGGGCTTCTCATTGTGGTGGCTTCTCTTGTTGCTGAGTACGGGCTCTAGGCACACAGGCTCAGTAGCTGTGGCTTGCGGGTTCTAGAGCGCAGCCTCAGTAGTTGTGGCGCACGGGCTTAGTTGCTCCGCAGCATGTGGGATCTTCCCAGACCAGGGCTCAAACCCCTGCACTGGCAGGCGGATTCTTAACCACTACGCCACCAGGGAAGCCCCCCATGACCAATTTTAATTGCTAAAAAAATTAAGCCAGTTTATAGGAGATCAACATGAATTACCAGAAACGACACAGTAAGGCCAGGTAACATGAAATAAGTAACAGTGAGCAACTAGGAAAAAATATACTACTGCTCATGCATCATTCTTTCCAAACACCCGACGTCAACATTCACAGCCTGTGTTTTCTTCAGTTCGGAAGTGAAACCAGCCTGAGCCGCACAGACGCGTGATACTAATCATTCACGTCACAGTGCGCCCGCCCGGCTGCAGCAGCTCTTCGCTTTTAACCCCCAACACACTGACAACCCTCACAGCAATAGGTCGACACTGGGAACGCAGGGAAAAAAAACCCCAAATAAAACCAGCACCAGGATACACAGATAATAACCAATCCTTCAGTGATGGAGCTGAAATACTCAGTTAACGAGGCTAAAAACATAGTACCAAAATAATAAACCGGGTGTTCTGACACACTGTCAGCGCTGGTCTCTGAAAACAGTGTGCACACAGTACTTCACTCAGCCCCACCTGCTGCCCTGCTGGCTTCTTAGTTACAAGTTGGTGTTTAAAGCCAGCTGCGGCGAGCTTGTGTACCTTAAACCCCAAGAGAGGGGGGCGGGAACAGCTTGTCACAAACTTGAGCAGTTTGCGCTTTTCCTCATCCGTGAAGCCTTCCACAACTCTCCAGAAGACTCTGATTACGGGGTGATCAGCAGAATAGCCGCCTATGACAAAAGGAACAGACGTTTGTATTAAAAACGAGGTAACTGCAGAAGCAAGACTCTCCTAAAGGCACCAGAGGAACAAACTTTCAAGAGTGATTCCTTTTCGTCATGCCTGTCCAGTGATGAACAGTGTTTCTTCTTTCAGCTCACGGCTGAAAGCCAACTCTAGAGAAACACCTTTACTCTGTCCTGGTAGATGGTGGGCAAGTACACAGCAGGGAGAGAAGCTTCAGAAGGTAAAGTACCAAAGGCCAGAATGAGGAACAAACACCCTGCAGCTACAAGATGAACCCTAGAAGCAAAAGATGCTGCAAAGGGGTCTGAGTTTTAAGAACTCTGCGAGGGGTCAAAAATCAGCCTCTATTGAGTAGCAAACCCTAAATAACAAAGGATTTACATGATGGTCACACATCTAGAAATAGCAGAAACACTGGGATTTTTATTTTTAATAGAGCTAGTTACTTTGCCAACACATCTTAGTATCTAAATTTGTTTTCTCACCCATCCTTCCGACAACAAGGTAGGGACCATGGTTACCAACCCACCCCAGCACTCAATTAGACCACTGTTCTGAAGTGGGATATCTGCTACCTACAGCTTTTAATCTAGTTAAGTGCTTCCTAAAACGGAAATAATTGCTATATGTTGTTCCCTCATTGTTAATATACTACAGAAATACCATCAATAAAATATCTTAAGTGCATTAATTGGCACCGAAATGAACATGGTAATATTTTAAACCTATTTACTAGAATAGGAATAGCTAGGATCATTAAAGGCATATGCTTTCAGTGCAGACAGGATAACGCAAAGAAGCCAAGACCACTTCCTCGGCAAAGGAAAGCTTGGATTGATTTCATTCTTTTCAACAGAAGACTTGACAGTGAGGACAGTGTGACCTTAGGTATCACCTGCCTTTACAGAAACATTAGAGTTCAAATTTAGAGCAATACAAATTAATTACAGAAAGGGGAGACACAGGTACACATTTATATACATATAAACACACACACATGGATATACGTAATTTACTTTAGTAAATTTATAGTTCTGAAACCATCACCCCAATCCAGCTTTAAAACATATCCATTCCTCAAAAGGCCCCCATGTCCACCCCATAGACAACCACGATCTGGTCTGTCTCTCAGTGTGCTCTTAAAGATGTTTCACGAAACGAAATTACACTCATGATAATACTGTGCAACTTTCACTGCGATCCATTTCCAAAACCTTTTCAAAATTTACCTTGGAGGAAAGGTTGGGAAACAGCACTCCACAGAACAGAGGAGTCTGGACGGGTTTCTTTTTAAAATTGTCGTAAACATGTAACATAAAATTCACCGTTTAAACCATTTTCAGGTGTTTAATCCAAGGATGTTAATTACAACCATCAATTACAATTACATTACAATTACATTGCAACCATCGCTGCTGTTTCCAACCCAAACGTCTTCATCACCCCAAGCAGACACTCCTATAACCACTAAGCAGTAACTTCCTGTGCCCCCTCCCCAGCCCCTGGTAACCTCTCATCTACTTTCAGTGACTAGGAATTTGCCACTGCCAGGTATTTCACAGAAGTTGAATCATACAGTATCTGTCCTTTTGTGTCTGGCTTATTTCACTTAGCATAATGTTTCCAAGATTCATCCACGTTGTAGCGTGCATTTGAACGTCATTCCTTTTTAAGACTTCATAATATTCCCATTGTATGTCTACAACACATTCGTTTATCTATGACCTGTAGGTGGACACTGGGGTTGTTTCCGCCTTTTGGCTCCTGTGAACAATGTTGCGTGAACACGGGTGTTTCAGTCCTTGCCTCCGACCCCTCTGGATATAGACCTAGGCGTAGAGTTGCTGGATTATTATTTTTAATATTTATTTGTTTGTTTGGCTGCGTCGGGTTTTAGTTGCGGCACGTGGGATCTTCACTGCGACACGTGGGATTCTTTAGTGTGGCGCATGGGCTCTAGAGTGTGCGGGCTGAATAGCTGCGCCACCCAGACTCCCTAGCTGTGGTGTGAGGCATGTGGGATCTTAGTTCCCCGACCACGGATTAAACCCACGTCTCCTGCATCGGAAGGCGGATTCTTTTTTTTTTTTTTTTCAGTACGCGGGCCTCTCACTGTTGTGGCCCCTCTCGTTGCGGAGCACAGGCTCTGGACGCGCAGGCTCAGCGGCCATGGCTCACGGGCCCAGGCGCTCCGCGGCATGTGGGATCTTCCCGGACCAGGGCACGAACCCGTGTCCCCTGCATCGGCAGGCGGACTCTCAACCACTGTGCCATCAGAGAAGCCCGGAAGGCGGATTCTTAACCACGGGACCACCAGGGAAGTCCTGAATTGCTGGATTATATAGTAATTCTATGTTGAGCTTTTTGGGGAACCACCAAACCATTTTCCATGTTGGCTACTTTACATTCCCACAAGCAGTGAATGAGGGTTCCAATTTCTCCACATCCTTGCCAACACTTGTTATTTTCTGTGTGTGTGTGTGTGTGTGTGTGTGTGTGTGTGTGTAGTAGCAGCCATCCTAAGAGATGTGAATACATCTCCCTCTGGTCTGGTTTACATTTTCGTAGTGGTTAGTGACGCTGAGCATCTTTCTGAGCATACTGGCTATGTGTAATATCTTCTTTGGCGAAATGTCTATTCAAGCACTCTGCCCATCGTTGAACCGGCTTGTCTTCTTGTTGAGTTGTAAGGGTTCTTTACACATTCTGGATACCAGACCCTCATCAGACATATGATTTGCAAATATCTTCTCCTATTCTGAAGGCTGTCTTTTCACTTTCTTAATAATGTTCTTGGATGCACAAAGCTTGTATTTTTGATCAAGTCCAATTTATTTACTTTTTTCTGTTGCTCCTGCTTTTGGTGTCGTATCTAAGAACCCGCTGCCAAATCCAAGGCCATGAAGATTTATCCCGGTGTCCTCCTAAGGGTTTTAGGTATTACATTAAAGTTCTTGATCCATTTTGAGTTAATTTTTGCATATGGTGTGAGGGGGGGGTACAGCCTCATTCTTTTGCAAAAATCCAGTTGCTCCACAATTAACTTTTTATATAACTGTAAACTTTTCCAAAGAGGTTCTACCATTTTAACACTGCCACCAGGCAAGAGGGTTCAAATTTCTTCACATACTAACACTTAGCATTGTCTTCTTTGAGAACAGTCATTCTAGTGGGTATGTAGTGGTATCTCATCAGAATTTAATTTGCATTTCCCTAATAATTAATGGTGTTAAAACAACTGTTCATGTGCTTATTTGCTTACCAGACATTCTTATATATCTTCTTAAGTGAAACACTTTATTTTCTGCCCATGTTCTAAAATTCAGTTGTTTATATTACTGAGTTGCAAAACTTCTTTATATACTGTGGACATAAGCCATTATTAGATATATTACTTGGAAATATTTTCTCTTAATCTCTGGCTTGTTTTTTCACTTTTTTAATGGTATCTTTTGAAGCGCAACATCTTTAATTTTGAGAAAGTCCAAATTTCTATCAATTTCTTTGTTCTGGATCATGCTTTTGCTGTACAGCTAAAAACTCTGCCTAATCCAGAAGTCATGAAGGTTTTCTCCTGTATGTTCTTTTAGGAGTTTTACAGTTTCAGCTTTTACCTACAGGTCTCTGATCCTGTTGAATTCATTTCTGCATATGGTGTGAGGTCAAGGTCTAAATTCATTCTTTCCCACGTACCACTGAACTGTCAGACATCACCAGCAGTAAGTCTAAGGATTCGTCTCTGAGCTCCCAGTTATGTTCCACGGATCGATATGTCTATCCCTGTGCCAGTCCCACAACGTCTTAGTTACTGTGGTTTACAGTAGGCTTTGAATCAGGGTGATGATCCTTCAACTTTGTTTCTATCAAATGTTTCGGCTGCTTTAGGTCCTTCACATTTCCATATAAATTTTAAAACCAGTCTGCTGATGTTTACCAAAAACCCTGAAAATACCAGAATAACAGACTATGGTTAAGGAAAACAAACAAAATAATAGTGGTTGTTTTAAGGATGATTTTTTTTTTTCCTTTCCACTGCTCCCAAGTATATAAAATAAAGTTTATGGGACTTCCCTGGTGGTCCAGTGCTTAAGACTCCACATTCCCACTGCACGGGGCACGGGTTTGATCCCTGGTTGGGGAACTAAGATCCCGCATGACGCGCGGCACAGCCAAAAGAAAAAAAAAAAAAAAAAAAAAAAAACCTCACAAATGCCCAAAGAGTACGCCAATCCCAACTCGGAACAACCTAGTTATGCTTCTGTTATTTCGTTAACGACTAACGTTGTTGAGCATCTTTCTATGTGCTTACTGGCCATGTATATGTCTTCTTTTTGGTTTTTCATTTTCTTGAAGAGTAAAAACTTTTAAGTTTAATTTAATCAAAAGTAAATATTTTGATGAGGTTCAGTTTTTAGGTTTTTTCTATTTTTTGGTCTAGCACTATTTTTCAAAGCAGAAGACTGGAAGCAACCCAGTGGCCATAAGAAGAGGCTTAATAAGGTAAGTTGTGAAGAGAAAAAAGCAGGCTGCAGAACAGTGTATACAAACAAGGAAAATAGGAATGAAATTTGTATTTATATGTAAATACGTAAAGACACCAAGAACAGTGGTTACTCCTGGTGGGGACGGGCAGGGGAGGAATGGGATGGTGAGAAATGAGACAGGAAGAGGAGTTCACTGTAACCCCATACAGCCTGGGTTTTAAACCATGAATGAATTACCCATGTAAAAAAGCATGTTAGAAATTACTTTGGAAATATGACCATCTGTAACATTTTCAGGGATGGATAACCAGTAGTGATAACATACCTGAATAGTTTGTAAAGGATTTTAAGTCCTCCAGACTTATGGGAACTTGTGCACCAGAAATTAATACCTGAAAAAAAAAAAGTTCAGGTTATAAAACTGGAGGCAGATTTTAAGAAGGCCTTTCACATCAGGAAACACCCGTGTCCCCAGGTGCAAGAAGTGGACCTGGATCTCCTGCTGGTCGAACATTCGCAGCCACTCCAGGCTCACCACGTTGGCCAGGCCCTGCCGGAACGCCAGGCAGTGCTGGCGGATCTGCCTGTTCAGCCGATAGTCGGCCACCAGGTGGATGTACGCAATCCGGTTGGCACTGCTCACCGGGATATCTTTTCCACCGAATTTTAGTTCAACCACCTGTGAATATTAAAATAAGAGTCAAAAACTTCTCAAAGTATAGGGTAAAACAAGAGTAAGAACAACTGTTTCAAGGGAACTTGACTGTGTTGCTCTGTACACGACAATCTTAGTGAAAAACCAGCACATGTGGCCTCACAGATGGAAGAGTCCTCTGATGGGACCCTCCAAAGCTTGGCATCTTATTCTGTCTTTAAGATCATTAACCACCCCGGCTTCCTCCAAAGTACCAAGGAATGATGCTACAATGTAATCATGGCAATTCCATTAGAAAAATAATAATGAGAAATCACACAGGGCAATAAAAAATTAATTAAATAAAAAAGAAATCACAAAGTGCAAATATATGAACCGAATGATCAGCACGAGTCAGAAGGGATTCATTTTGGAGAAAACGCAGCTTAAGGAATTAAGGTTGTAGTAAAATGAGTATTCTTACTTGCACATATAGGTAGCATATATTTCTCTGTTTCCATATTACTACCATAAAGTACTTTGAATATGATATAAAGGGTAGTGGTAATCACTAGAAATAACTCCATTTCTCATGTATCTGCAAGCATTAGAAAGAACTTCTTTATCACTGTGTAACGACACTCAGAAAATCGCAGGGTCAGGAACCCCTGGGAAGCATCCCTGGAGCGTTGGGGGGAATGAGCCGCAGCGGGGATGGGGAGCCCGGACTCGGGTGCCCCGCACCTCACTTCACTGTGTGCCACAGAGGAGTCACCCGGCCCTGAACTCTGTGACACGGTGACACTTGCTTTGTCCATCCTGGAATTGTGACTATGTAAACTCACATAAGCAAAGCTGACTAGACAAAACTCCACAGACAGCTACAAATATGTAAGCCTAATTTACCAGAGTAGACTTCAGAATCCTCGTTTACTAGTGCTTAAACAAAAGAAATGCATTCTCAATGCGTGTGGATGAGGTAATGTATGCCAAGTATAAAGAAATATAAATACATCCGAAATAGTGAACAAAGACATTCCAGAGTGGAGGAGTTATTCAGTAAGGGGACTGCTGCCAGTGGAAACTGGGTAACATTCAAAACAGGCTCAATACGCCTAGTGAGTAGAGGGCAAACTTGGGGGGTAAAAGCAGAGGAATGCTTGGATTATGGGCCATGGGAAAATGACTGATACCCTCCCCCCCCCCGTGATTTCCTTCACAGCCTTTAGGCTCTTGGTAGTTATTATATTCCAAGTGCAACAAAGACACCCCCTCCCTCTGGGTGATGCCATTTTACCCCAATTGTTTTATCACTTTACAGAAAGGGCTATTTTAAGATCTGGTGATGGCTTTACTTAAATTATCCTCTGTCTGATGGTTACACAACCATCTAGTGCTATCAAAGCTGTGCAGCTGTATCAGATGACGCTTCACTGCTCACTAATTCGCGTTCTCAGGGCTGGAACCGCCAGGTCCGAGGAGGGGCTCTGGGGCGAGGCCGCGCTGTCTCTTGTGCCGCTCTCCCGACAGGCCTCCTGTCACCCGAGCCACAGGAGCTGCGGTTCTGTTTCCACAGCTAAGACACCACCCCGCTTCCTTTAAGTGGATTAAAAGCAGATAATAAATGATGATGTACTGTGTGATCTGGAAGAAAAAGGACCCGTGAAGGTATCGTTTAAAGAGCTTCCAAAGCCCCCGTTACCTGAGTAATCAGACAGCACTGACATTTCTAGTAACTTTAAAGTGGTTACGCTGGTAATTTAAGTTCCTCTCTCAGGCTACACCTAAAAAGCTATGTATGTTTAAATCACGTCAAATCTGTCCTCAGAGTTCCATTTTGAGGGGCATATTTAAATCTTTAAACATGGAATCTTTAAAGCAAGAGCTCTCCTCTCTGCCGCCCTGGACGTCTACACCTTACGGCCCTTGGGAGTGCACAGGCACCGCACCCTCTGCCCCGCCCCGCCCCGCAGCCGTCACTCACGCACAGGGGCTCATTTCATCCTCACGGCAGCTCATCCCCGTCTGAAGATGAGCACGGGGTCTGTGACTCGCCCAAGGTCACACAGCAAAGCAGCATAACCGGGGCTTTAGCCAGGCTCTCAGGACTCAGGCTCAGTGCTCGTCTACAGAACAGATGTTTATGGGCCATCTTAAACCCGGAGCACTGTCCTCGAGGGAGACAGGTGCATAAAGTAGTCGTCTAAAACTTCAGGCTCACTTCTGAGTAGGCTACCAAGCAGCCACACTGCTTACACGAAAGAAGAAACTGGAGAGCAACGCCATTATTTTAAAAGGGAAGATCCATTAACATAACCTGCCAACACAATGAAGCATTTGCATATTACATATCTTTAAATCGTGATGTTTTATAAACCTACACCTGTATATGAGAACTAGGTTTTTACGTATATTTCTACAGAAATCCATACGATCTCTCCCCAAATTAGGTACTTTACCAGTGACTTTAATTTTTCCAATTAGACTCTTTAGTATAATTATCCTTACGCATTATCATCTATAATCTCTCTACTCAGTGGGAATTTCTATGAATAATTGGAACATCCCGACTTCACACTTTTGCTTTGAACAGATTCCAGTATTATCAGTGGCGCTTTAATGGAACTCTTACATATGCGACATCTCACCATTACCGTCTATTTCAGAAGGAAAATGGGAAATACCCCCATTAGCAAAGGCCTAGGCGACGGCCCCAAAGCTTTTATTTCGTTTCTTCTAAGTCGTGCCACTAGGTGGAGCGAGGCAACAGCAGCATCACTGTCTGCATGTCGACATTTCCTTCGGACAATAATAAATCCCATCTCTAAAAAACATCTCAGTTTTGCAGTGCTGAAATTTCAGCTCTATGAGATGGAAGAAGAGGTCAAAACAAAACAAGCAAATGAAATCTGGTTCTCAGCCCCTCATCCTTTTATCTTACAGCATTGATGCCAGTTCTCAAAGATGCCTAGACGACCAAGCAGGAGGAAGGAGGAGGTCTCAGGAAGCATTATTTCCTTTATTCCTGTTTAGGATTTAGTCACCTATTTCTGAAACAGGTAGCTTTTTTTTTTTTTTTTGCGGTACGCGGGCCTCTCACTGCTGTGGCCTCTCCCGTTGCGGAGCACAGGCTCCGGACGCGCAGGCTCAGCGGCCATGGCTCACGGGCCCAGCTGCTCCGCAGCATGTGGGATCTTCCCGGACCGGGGCACGAACCCGTGGTCCCCTGCATCAGCAGGCGGACTCTCAACCACCGCGCCACCAGGGAAGCCCTTGTGTACGCTTTTTGCTTCAGTTTTGGAAGACATCACGATGGAGAATAAACCACAGAACAGTTCTGTAGTCAAGGGGGGAAGCCAATGAAAAGATACTCAATCTCTTAGTTTTCCTGAGGGACTCTCGGTACTACAGCGTAGCGCTGTGTACTATATGTACCACCACAGTGAAACGGCACTTCACACCCGCTAGGAGGGCTATTATTTAAAAAACAGAGAGAAAAGGAAGCGGAAAATAACAAGTGCAGACAAGTATGTGGAAAAATCGGAACCCTTGTGCACTGCTGGCAGGAATGTAAAATCATGTGAAAACAGTACAGCGGGTCCTCAAAAAGTTAAACACAGAACTGCCATATGACCCAACAATTCCACTTTTAGGTATACACCCCAAATAACTGAAAACAGGGACCCCAAAAGATATTTATACAGCAACAGCCACGGCATCATTGTTCACGATAGCTGAAACAACTGTAATGTCCATCAACAGATGGCTAAACAAACGTGACACATCTAACAACAGCACGTTCATCAGTCTGGAAGAGAAGAAACTCTGGAATGTCCTGCCTGCCCACCCCCCCTCGTCCGACTCAAATAAAATCTACTTAGTCCAAGACACTGATCCACAGAACGTAATTTTACAAATGAAAATTACGGTCAAACTGCTCTCGTTAAGAACTTTTCTCACTGCTTAACCGAACTGTGGTTTCTCTGAATTCTGGAACCACCTGACCCAGAGAATACCCAGGACCCGCCCTGACTCACAGAACCAGAACCTCAGCTTCCGCTGACAGGAGGCTCAAGTGTCTTATTATTAGTTTTCCTACTAGCTCTGAAACGCACCTGGTAGGCTCTCTTACCCCGAAACACCCCCAAATCAGCTAAATGAAACACCGGCTCTCTTCCTGAGCGTACGTTTAGCCTTCCTAAAGCCCAAGGCCCTAAAAGGTTCTCCATGGACGACAGGATAAAGCCCAGACTTCTTGGCTCTGTCTACCTACTCTCCCCCAAGCCTGTGAAACTTCAGCCACTTCCAAATCCATCTGTTTACCTACCTGGTGACCCCTCATCACCCACCCAGAGCCTCTTCCGGGCAGCCCTCCCTGATCTACTTGGATGGGAGCAATCCTTCTGAGCTACTACTAAACTACAGATCTCACAACGCAGATCATATCTGCCTCCAGTTAGAATGAGGGTGCGCTTACAGTTAAAGGCAACCTCCCCCACACAGCCCACTGGCTGGCGTACAGAGTGCCACCAACCCCTCCTGAACAATGAAGGAGGGAAGAACAGGCATGGAGGCAAGCAGGCGACACCACAGGAAACACTCGAAGCCCCGTCGATCCAGACGGGGTCAGCGCTGCGCCACAGGGCTCAGTCACCCATGGGGTCAGTGTGCGGTCCACGCGGCCTGGACTGGACACTACGGACCTGCTGGACACACAGATACTTCTAAGCTGGCAAAGCCGACAACCTTGGAAAGCCTGGACTAGAAACCGAGGAGTAACAGAAGCTTAGAGAAGCAAGTACAAAGTTCAAAGATAACAATACTTTCATAGTTAAAGTCCAACTACTAGATTCAGAAAAGATTATCAATCTACGTAAGAACAGCAGAAAAGATGCATCTCTCCTGCGAAAGAGACAACTTCTATGAAAACCAAACATAAGTCAGAAAAGCACGGTTGGTTACTCTTTTTTTTAAGAGTTGGAATGTTTTTAATCTGACTGAAAATATAAATATACATGTAGTAAGACAATATTAAAGTTTCAAATAGACATCAGGTCACAACTACTCTTAAACATTTGATTTTTATTCTATCGTTTCTCCTAGTATGTTAGTGTATCTCATTAACATATTACATGACCATCACAATCCATCCTCATTAGAATGTTAAATGAAACTGTAACATAATATAGTTATATTTTATGTACACAGTTCACTTAAACTCTTACCAAATAAAGCGTTCATATTAAATGGCAGAACGGAGAAAAGACTTCCGAAAATGGGAATACTGGTGATGGAGTATAACTAATAGGAAAAGAGAAATTAATTGATACGGAGAAATATAAAGCGAAAATGCTACATGGAACTGTTTTAATCAGGGAGAGAAAATTATGTTTTATCCTTCAGTTAGTCAAAATTGCTCTACAATCTTAAATCTTAACCTTTAGGGTCACTCATTATCTTCCTTATTTTACCCAGAATTAACTGGATATTATTATTATTTGCACAAGGCAGCAAGAGGCACTTAAAAGTAACCGGAAACACAAAGACCCAATCAGCATTATAGTAACAGTTGGTTACTTCAAAAATCCAATGAGATATTAACAAATATGACTTCCAAAGTGCTCAAACAATCCGATTTGCCTGTGTGCATCTTTTAAAGGTCTGCAGACTGTGGGATCACGTGCGCGCGTGTTCAAGTAGACAGAATTGTATGATGACCCCCACGCCCACCTCCACCACCAGCTTCAGCAAGCTCCACCTCGCGGCCAATCTAGGCCACCTGTGCCTTCACCTACTGGCCCGGTTCTCATGACATCCGAAGCAAATCCTGGGTGTTAAATCGTTCAGTACGTATGGTGTACATGACTGTTCATAGCAGTATTACTCCTAAGAGCCAAAAAGTGGAAATAACCCGAACGCTTATCAGCTGGTCAAGGATACATGCTACATCCACATATACATCATCATATACATCAGTTGGCCAGAAAAGAGAGTGAAGTACACCTGCAGCACCCAGTGAACGAAGCTAGGCACCAGAGGCCACACACCCTAAGGTTCCAGGTGTGAAAAGCACCCAGAAGAGACAAGTGCACAGCGACAGGAAGTGGGCCAGTGCTCGCCTAGACTGAGGACGGGCAGGACGTGCTGCTGGGCACACGGTGTCTCCGTGGTGGTAACAGTGTCCTAAACGTGGATGCTGGAGCTGGTCGTACTAACCCACCTTGTACAGGCTACAGGGCGGAATTCATGGTACACGGATCGTATCTCAAGAAAGCAGCTATTCAAAACCTTAGCTTGACTCTCTAGTATGTTATTTACTTTTCTCAAGGATAAAAATAACAGGAGCACGCAGGCGGACAGTGAAGGTCTGCGACCCGCGTTAAGAGCTGCCGAGGGCCACTCGGCTGGATGAGGACAAAGGAGCACTGCCTGCCCCTGAGGCTCCAGAAGTGAGGCGAGAGGCAAGGTTAGCTCACAGCCACGCGAGTGACCGTCACAGGAGGACGGCTGCTGTGCCTGGCAGCCTGGCACCACGAGGGGTGGCGAGGGCCGCACTCACCACCAGAACTCCCCCAGCTCTGCTCTTAGCCCCGGGACTCTTCCAAGGAAGATGCGCACAAGCTCATACCGCAGAACGCAAACGTCTCTGCACACCAGAGCCCCGACTCACCTGTGCCTCTCCAAGGTCGTTGTTCACCACAGTGAAGTTCAACCCCAGCTCCTCCACGTCACCTTCGTAGCTCTTGAGAAACAGCAAATTCTTATACACTTCGGGGTCTAAGGACGCCAGGTGGTGGATGTCCACGTCCGCGCTGGTTCCAAGCAGCTTGGACAGGAAAAAGCCAGCGAAGGGCAATTCCACCAGCATATTTTCGTAGAGTGCCTTCAAATGAGAACAAAGACCACTGATTAGCATTTCATAAGAACTCTGTTTTCATACTTCCTAAAAATGAGAAAACGTATGTCCAATTTGATATTTAACAGAATCCTAAGATAGCAGACGACTGATTCTCCTCCATGAGGAGGATGGTGGAAGCTAGTATTTGGTGAGCGTTTCCCACGTGCCAGGCCATAGTTTAAGCATTCAATGCATACATTCACTACGTAGAAACTTCTAGAACAGACTACCAAAGAATTTTGGGGCTGAAATGCCAATGGGAATTTTTAAGAGCCACAGCCTTCATGCTGCAAGAGCCTGCCAGGTGCTTTCTGTGAAGTGTTTTGCAGGTGCATCAGTCTCCTAGGGCTGCTGTAACAAAGCATCACAGACTGGGTGGCTTCAAACAACAGAAACTTATCGTCTCCCAGTCTGAAGGCCTGAAATCAGGGTGGCAGCAGGGCCACGCTCTCTGGGCGGGCGCTAGGGGAGGGTCCTTCCTGCCTCTTCCAGCTCCGGCGCTGCCGGCACCTTGCTGGGCCCTGGCCTGTTGCTGTGCCCCTCCAGCCTCTGCCTCTGGACGTGCTGGTCTCCCCTTGTGTGTGTCCCTCTCCTTTCTCTTATGAAGACGCCAGTCACTGGATTCTGGGACCCACTCTACCCAATACGACCTCACCTGAGCTTGCCTACATATGCAAAGACCCATCTTTCCGAATGTCGCATCACAGGTACAGGGTATTAGGAGGTGAGGACCACTTTGGGGGGGGGGGGGGTCACAATTCCACCCACAACGACAGGCCAGACCACGTCGGTGGCCACCCCTCCACTCTGCCCTTTAGCACAAAAGGAGCACAATGTGTGCCAAGGTTGGGTTTCAGGTAATTTCCAATGTCAAGAAATCTTCTTCTTTAGATTTTTTTTTCACCATCAAATGGGGGAAAAAAAAAGCATTCTTAGCTTGGTGACCATACAAACATAGGTGGCAGGCTACAGGCCCACAGGCTGTAGTTTGCCAACACATAGTGTAAAATGAAGAGATCGGGCCTTAGAACTCGGGAGATTTGCCCAGTATTGAGTAAGTAGGCAGCAAAACTGGTGTCAAAACCCAGATTCCCTGATGCCCAGATCAGTGTTTTCCCTGTAAGTTACTGTCTACCTTTACGTCTAAGGATGGCAATGTGTAATGACTTTTGCAACTATTTATATTAAGGTATAATTTACATAAAGTGAAATGTACAACACGCCAGTACTTGCTCACAGCTGTGTAACGACCGTTCAGATCACAACAGAGAACATTTACACCCCCTCCGCAAACCTAGCGCCCCCTCAGTCCTCAGTCAACACCCTCCCTCCCTCAGGCTAACCCTCACTCTACTGTCACCACAGATAAGTTTTGCCAGTTCTGGAGCTTCATAATTGGGGCTATACAGTATGTGTTCTTTCATATCTGTCTTCTCACAACATACTGTTTTTGAGATTCACCTATGTTACTGTTGTTAACAGCTCTACCTAGTCACATGACGATGGACATGTGAGTGGTCTCCAGTCTCGGCTACGATTGCAGAGCTGCTGTATCAGTCACTGGCCTGCCTTTCTGTGGGTCTGTGCTCTGATTTCTCCTTATTATATACCTGAGCAGGCTGGGTGACAGTGGAAGTACTGGAGCACAAGGAAGGTTTAACTATATTAGACACTGACATGCTGTCTTCCAAAACACAATTTCTTTTCGCCATGACCAGCAATGCAGGAAGGTTCTAACTGGTCTACATTCTCACCAATTATCAGTACTGTCACTCTTAAGGTTTAGTTATTCCGGTTGGTGCAACGGGGTAATCTAATCTCATTGTGGTTTTAAATTACATTTCCCTGATGACCAGTGTGGATTACACTAAGTGTTAGTATTACTATATTAATCTCCAGAGATTCTCCAGCAAAAGAGGGTAGGAAATACAATTATATAAAGTTTTCCAACATAATGTCAGGGTTCACCTGGCACGATAAATATCCCTATGGCCTGAGGCTGTAAAATGCGACAAGGAATCAGAAATGTGCTGTCAAGTTTTCAGAAGCATTATTATTTTATTGTAGCAGATGACTCAGAAGCCCCAACAAATCTTTCTTGTCAAAAATGTTCTAATGAAAATAGTTACCGCTTATCGAATGCTTGCTACGTAACAGGCGTTCTGCCAAGCAGGCAGCATCAGTGACCGCATTTCCATTTGGCCCCTGGAAAATCCGACTGACTGTAAGGTAAGTGATTCTTACATGCAAGTCAAGGGTAAATCTGGATTTCCCCCACAAAGGCCATTTTTGTTACCATACATCTAATCTGCAAAGACACGGATCCTCTGAGACGCTCCCATGACTGTAGTCACCCCCGCTCTCAGGGGAGAAGGGGTGTCAGTCCCTCGCTTGGTAAATGCAGAGCTGGAAGCGTCGCCTTGAGCACGGGGGATCATGGACCTTTCTCTGTTTGCAGGGCAGTCTGTGACCCCAGAAGGACAGACAGGGTGTGAGGGTTGGACTAACTCTGCCTTAGCGACCCCTACCATCAGCTATGCCGTGTGACACACTCAGATCTTCTTTACACCACTGTGTGAGGATTCAGTGCTATGATGCTATGCATGCAACTAAAATAAAGCAAAATTTAATCTAAGGGGTGATCTCTCAGCCATGAAATTAACTTCAGAAGTCACTCTTCCAAGAGGCCACCCACCTGGCCACACCCACACACGCTAAAGGCTAAGCACAGGGTTTAGTGAGACAGACCTGTGTGACGTAACTAATGCCAGAGTGAGCTGGCACTGCCCCTCCCACCTTCCCCACATTAAAGATGGCAGCCTTGTGCCACTGTGCACCGTGGGAGGGACCCTTCCATAGTCACAGCTTCCAGCACTACTGCACTACTGAACCCTCTATCTCAGGGGTCCCCAACCCCCAGGCTGCGGACTGGTACCGGTCTGGGGCCTGTTAGGAACCGGGCCGCACAGCAGGAGGTGAGTGGCGCGCGGGCGAGCGAGCGAAGCTTCACCTGCCGCTCCCCACATCGCTCACATTATTGCCTGAACCATATCCTCCTCCCCGCTGCCCCATGGAAAAACTGTCTTCCTCGAAACTGGTCCCTAGCGCCAAAAAGGTTGAGGACCGCTGCTCTATCTCATACTCGGGTGGCAGTCTATAATCACTGACCCTTACGCACTCATATGCATGCTTCCCCCTTTCCCCCTAAACGTCCAGAGAAAGCTCAGATACCCCCCGAGACCCACATTTTAAACTCTCACCCACTAATATGACTGGAGGAAACTAGAAAACAGCTATGAAACATCCTCCCAGAAGTAAACACCCAGAGTGCACTGGCTTCGGTTCAGAAGCCACTGGCCGGCACCATGAGCCACACTCCCGAGGGACGTCACCGCGTCACCACGTCTCAGGAGGCCAGGCTCCCCATCTTCCCCCAGTGGAGACCACAGATGCTCTGTGCCAGGGAAACTGGACTGTTATGTCCCCGTGCTTTTATTTGATTTGAAGACTAATGATTACCCAATTAATTTTGAAAGGATGGCATAAAAGGACTTCTTAATTAGAGAATGAGTAATAAAACGGCAACTGGTACTTAAGTCATCCACTGATAATGTAAAGAGTGAGCTGTTTGGAGAAGCCACGGTTTGCTTCAAGTTAAGAATGGCCGATACTATTAACCTGAAGCACTTATAAACCCCATTACTTCTAAATGAATGATGCCTTCAGAGCCAAGGAGAGCATTCTGCAGAAGACGACGTGATTGATCCCAGGTGTTGAAGAAAAGCCTCATTTGTACAGTGGACTGTAAAGTAAACTCAAGGTGTAAATCATCTGATGTTCAATACATAAGGTCATTGTTTGCCATTTCTGCATTAGTAACAATAAACCTGTGAAGTTTGTTAAATCTATCAGAGCTACCTGAATTTTAAACAGAAATTCCACTGTGACTCATAAAATGTAAATGCATAGGTATAATTTTTTACACGAGGCAGGTTTAAACCTTTAGAGCATTTAATATACAAGCACTAATAAATGATAGCACTAAAAACTATGATTGCATCAGCTAAATGGGTTATAAATTAAATTTCCATAATGTATGCAACTGAGATACAAATGTAAGCATAAATCAAGTTATTTTCTAAACACAGGTTAATTATACAACTTCAAAAACTGCCAATTTTTTATGCAAAATAATCCACTTAGCGTTTTTCATACTGGCCTTAATTCTCAGTCAGCTGCACCACACTTGTTCCTAGAAGCATATCAATAACTACTTGTCATGAGAAAATAGCAATAGGTATATTGAAAAAAACCCTATGACGCATTTTTCAACTGTCTGTCCTTTATGAGTGTTTATAGCTAGAAATTGTGCCAAAATGATTTGAAATAAAAAGGATTAATTATGGTAGAAGCCTTTTAATATAAGTAAGTGCAGTCGCAATGCAATCAATGCAAATCATGGCCCTACCGGGAGAGTCAATGTGAGCCGCATCTCAGGCCGTTTGTTTGTGGCCAAATAACTTCAGTAATTTACTACATTAAGAATCAATAAAAAAAAAATAATGCTTTTCAAATGCATCTCCATCAATCTTCAGGTAGTTCTAAAGTGAACATTTATAACTTAATCTAAAAACTATATCAGAGATGTCTTGTTTTAAAGCCACTCTAATTGAGCAAGGAGATAATTTTAATTATTTCAGATCGTGCTAGCCTTGGAGTTTGAAAAATAAAAGGTATGTAAAATAAGAATGTAAGCTGATAGCAGTATGCTATTTAATTTAGTAGCTAGGCTTCAGAATTAATAACTGAGAGTTGAAAAACATGGTCTCTGGGGCTACTATTGATTTTTATGATAAGCTCCTGCAGGGCAGGAAACACATCTGATCTTCAGTGCAAGTCTACATACAACATACAGTGCCTAGTCATTTAGCAGATTTATTAAGTGCCAACTGTGTGCTAGGGACCGCTGATCTGTAGGATGGAAT